CTAGTAATTGTATCAAGAGAAAATTATTCTTTTTAAGATTTATTTATCTACATATACAAGAGCTGGGGTGTAGGCCATAGGTGAGGGGGGTGAGAGGATTCACCAGAGACAGAGTGGGGAGCAGAACAGCCAGAATGACTGAAATACACCCATGAGGGGAGCAGTGGGCGAGACAGGAGAGGTCTGCACTATACGGGTCAGCTCCCTGGCCAGGGATCGAACTTATGCTGCAATGGTTGCTGATTGTTTCATAGTGCTGAGACTTAACCTCTTGTACCACCACTAGTCCATAGTTTCTACAATGCCTTACCTCTACCTTTGATAAGGTGGATTCACTTTCTGGTCACCCCCCCCTTTCTTACAGATGACCACAGTGGTGCTCAGTTTACCTCTTTAATCCTTCCCCACCACCCAACCCAGGGTAGTTTTCATCTGGGCTTGGAGATTAGTACACACCTAAAGCTGCAAGACACTCTCTTTTCACCTTGCCAAAACAATTTCAATGTTCTTTTTCCAGTGTTATTTCTATTTTTTCTAGTTCGAAGACATTTTCCCTGAAGGAAGAAGACAGGTGGCTGCCAAGGGCTTCTGTTCTGCGTTCCAGTTGCCCCACTAATATCATACTTCCACTGATAAGTAGTGGGCCTTCTGATGTCTTGTTCTGAACAATGCTAAGACATCAAAGCCACTTCTGGTGTCTTTCTCAGCCTCAAACCATTTTGGCCGTCATCCTGCACAGCTCTTCTGGAAGGAAGTCAGAGGAACCTGCTCCTTCCCTTTCTATTGCTTTTATACAGCTTTCAAAGGCTGAGCTGGAATTATTTATTATGTTCAAAAGGCACTTTGGGCAAATGGAAGAAGAGCCACGACCAGATAACTAGAGACCACCAAGGAGACTACCTTATATTCTCCTTAGGAACTTCACCAGCTAAGCTTTCTTAGGGGCAGTATAAGACCCCAATGAGTCATTCTATAGAAAGGGCAAGGTTAGAGATGTACACAGGGTATTATGGAAACAAAGACGATGCAGTACCTTATTGCCTCTTACAAAAGAGATGAAAAAAGGAATACATTTGTTTTACCTCATCAAGATCTTTAGTCTCTCTGCCCAATTCATCATCATCTTCATCAGAATCCAGTTCTGGCCCAATATAATTCCCAAACTCATCATACAAGTCAGTATCCATGATGCTAAAATTCAAGAAGAGAAGTGTTAGACTCTGGCAAGGTAGTCAAGGCCTACATGACATGACCCCAACTTTCCAGCCTTATAGTTGACAAGATCCCACAGTCTCCTCTCCAATTACATCAGCCTGTGGACTGCTCACCCTCAAGTTCTGTACTTTCCACTCCTCTATTCTACTCACTATCTGTTTATAGACTCTTCTCTCATTTCTTTTTTAATACTAAACAAATTTTTTTTAAAGATTTATTTATGCACAAGAGCTGGGGTGTGGGCCAGAGGTGCGGGAGGGGCAAGGGTGGTGGTGAGAGGAGTGGGGAACAGAACAGGCAGATAAACTAAAACATACTGCTGAGGGGAGCAGCGGGCAAAACAGGAGAGGTCTGCTGCACCATGTGGGTCAGCTCCCCTGCCAGGGATCGAACTCGTGCTCCAGTGGCTGCCGATAGCTTCATAGTACTGAGACTTAACCCCTTGCACCACTAGGGAAGCCCCAATACTAAAATAATTTTAATTTTAAAAGTTTAATGCAGAAAGTTGTAAAAGCAGTACACATAATTCTCTTTTCCCTAAACTAAAGAGTAAGTCACTGAGAAAATGCCTCAATACCCCGTGATACTTTAGTACAGGAATTGGCAGACTGGTCACTAGTCTGTTTTCACTCAGCCCCAAGCTGAGAATACCTTATACATTTTTAAATAGTTGAAAAAAAAAATCAAAATAGCAATTTATGATACATAAAAAATATAAAATTCAAATTCCTGTGTCTGTGAAAACAACTTTATTGAAATACAGCCAAGCTTATTCATTTATATATTCAGTGGCTGTTAGCTCACCATAACACTAACAGCAGAGTTGAGCTATTGCAACTGAGACCATAAGGCCCACAAAGCCTAAAATAGTTACTAAAATAGAAAAAGTCTGCCAACCTGTGCTTTAGTGTGTGTGAGTCCTCCAAATAAGGACATTCTCTTAGATAACCACAATAAAATCATCAAAATGATGATACTGATACAGTATGACCAGCTAATCCAGACTCCCACTCAAGTCTCACAAACTGTTTCAATGATGTCCTGCACTGCAAAGGATCCAATCCAGGATCATATTTGCATTCAGTTGTCATGTCTGTGGTCACTTTCAATCTAGAACAGATCCTTACTCTTTCCTTGGCTTTTATGAAATGACACTCTTGAAGTTTAAAGGCTAGTAAGTTTGCAGAATGTACCTTAATTTGGGTTTGTTTAATGTTTCTCATTATTAGATTCAGGTGACACATTTTTGGTGGGATTATCACAAAAGTGATGCTGAGTTCTTTTTAGTGCATCCCTTATCAGGCGGTACATGATTTTAATTTATTCCATTAGTGGTGATGTTAACTCAACCATTTCATTATAGCAGTGTCTACTAGGCTTTTCCATTGTAAAGTTACCTGTGTCTTTTTTTTAATTTACAACCCATAAAAGTAATTTTATGGGTTTCACCACTTCCATTATTGAAACTCTATTCAAAACTAGCTCAGGGCCTCCCTGGTGGTGCAGGGGTTAGGACGCAACCTATGAAGCAGTCCGCAGCCACTGCACCATGAGTTTGATTACCGGCTGGCCAGGGAGAAACCCAATTGGCGGGACAGACCTCTCCTGTCTCGCCCACTGCTCCCCTTAGCAGTGTACTTCCGTCTGTCTGCCTGTTCTGTTCCCTGCTCTGTCTCTGGTTGGTCCTCTCACCCCCCGCATCTCTGGCCTGTACCCCAATTCTTGTATAAAAATAAATCTTAAAAAAAAAAGAGCTCAAATGCCACATTCTTTAAGCTTGCCTAGACTTTTATTTCCTCACTCTCTATTCTTCTAGAGCCTTTTGTACCTTTATCACATTTATTTGTCTTGAATGGCAGTTAACTATACCAATTACCCTCACCAACAACTCTACACTTTACAAGTAATAAACAAAAGGCCAGAGAATGGGTTAAGGGCTTGGGTTCTGGAGTTGGAAGAACTAGATTTGAATGCTAACTTTGTCACTTAATAACTACAGAACTTCAGGTAAGTTATTTCATCTCTTCAAACCTGTTTCATTTTTTTCCCCACAACTGTTTTAAAATCTTTATTTTAAAATTACTTAATATGCAACCCAAAAAAAGTTAAAATAACTTCAATTTTTATATTTTTACAATAATATCAAAAGAGCCCATGCCTTTGATTCGCACAGCGTCACAAATCAGTTATCTCAATTTTAATAAAAAGCACATATTCATTTGTAGAATATGAAATATGGAAAAGTATTAAACCTGTTTCCTAACAGAAAAAAAATGGAGTGAATAATCCTCAATGCATAAAAGGTCATGGAAGCAAAATTGTCTGTGTAAAGAGCTTATCACAGCTTATAAATGTTAGCAGGCATCATTTGGGGGGACATTTTTGAATACAGATACCCTATGTTCCTTGTGCTCACCTGCCAGTGTCAGAATCTTGCAACAGAAGGAACTGGATAAATGCTAAATTAATAGAATAGTTCATTTGGGGATACTGATATTTCTTGCATTAGGCACCTTCCACATCCCACAGTGAGACTTGTTGAGTGCTGATTGTAAATAAATAGTGAATTGAGCATTCTGAGGACTAGTAATTTAATGCAAATTACTACAGAAATTTTCATATGCATGCTTCTTTTTTTTACTTCCAAAGAGCTATCACATCTGTGCTCACTTCATTACCCCAAGACCCCATAAAGGGACTGCAGAAATTTGTAGAAGGCTGTTTGAGGAACATGCCTCTTTTCTGCTTCCGGGCCATTGCACTTGTTAATTCTTTCCTGAAATACACTTTCCTTTGGCTATTTATACCGTGTTCCTTCATTTCACTCAGGTCTTTACTAAAAATGTGTCACTTTCTCTGAGAAGGGTTCCTGCCCCTCTACAAAAGGCCCCCATCACATACACGTTCTCCAGTCACCACAGTTCAATGTTTTATTATCACTAACATTTATCACCAGTGGACATGCAACTATTCACATGTTTACTGTGCTCTCCCCAACAATTTCAGAAAAGACTTTGTTTACTTAGGACAGCGCCTGGCACAAAACTGGATCTCAACCAGCATTTTCTGAATGGACGACTCTAACAAGACACAGAGAGGAGAAGTCGACTTGCACAGCTGCACACAGCTACTGATTTTCAGGAACATACCTCCCTGCAGCTTACCGCTGTAGCGCAGGCTTTCAAAGGCAGGCAGGATAAGGACAGAGGGAGCTTGGCAGGAAAGAGGTGGAGGTGGCATAGATAGAAGAGGCATGAGAGAGGGAAATGGACTGTTAGAGCACGATCCCTGTCCAGGGAAGGGATTTTATGAATGGACAATATCGAGGGGACCCGGAAACTGAGGCGTGTTGGTGGGGGGGGGGGGCTTTCATTCCAGCTCCCGCTCCACGTATAGTTTCTTCCAAAGGAAAATTTACTTAATTTTCCACACCAACCGAAGCACCCTTCCCAAGCCGCAGGCCCGCGCCAGCTCACCTCCCGCCTGCTCACTCAAAAGCTGCAAGTCCGCCGCTGAAGACCGCGTTTCCGCTCCACGCCGAGACTCCGTCTGCGCCCGCCGGTCTGGAAGGACCCCGCGGACGCCGCGGTCGCGTTTCTGCCCGGAGGACAGCCCTCTGCCTGAGTACCAGATGGGGGAAACGAGGACCGCGGACTCAGGAACCGACAAAGTGAGTCCCTAAACTTAGGCGTGGGCTGCCCCAAAGAGAGCGAGGCCTGAGAAGGCAAGAATTTGATCAGGCGCCTCGGACACCTAGAAAGGGGCCTTCAGTCCGATCACGTGATGTGCTGTTGGCGCAGTTGCTAGGCAACCACAGCTGTTTGGGGACGTCTGTTCTGGCTTTTTAAGGGCTCCCCAAAGAAAACAAGGGAACCGAGGTCTGGGCTGATGGGATGAAGGTCAGGGGTGAAGGTCGTGGGGCGGAAGGGTTAATTGTTCTATTTATTCAGTGCCTGGGGAGGGCTCGGGATTGGACTGAACCCAGGACACTTGAGTTCAAGTTCTTGAACTTTCCTTCTTGGTATTTAGTTTTCCCACGTCGGGGTAGAAGGGACGGGTCTTGGGATTGGTTGCAGATCTCTTACTTGCCTTAGGGCTGTTGATGATGACTCCACCACAAGATCTAGCTCAATGCAGGAGTCCTCAAAGAGATCTCAGCAAGTAAATATAAGAACCAAATCTAGAACTCATACAGATGATCCCACTGCAAAAAAGTCCGATTAACCTCAGCTATGAGGAGCAACAGTTGTTGCCCAAGTACTTAGGTTCCTGTGCACCAGCCCTGGACTGGACAGAGGAATTTAGGGACAGAGATCGTTGAGCCCTTTCCTCTGCCACTTCTGCTTGATTTCCTGCTCAGTCATTGAATCTGATTTGGGTAAAAACTATGGTTTCCTGTTAAAAACATTTAATAATGGGTGAAATTTTGCCCTTGGACTTATAAGTAGCTAACAATAGTTCAGCTTTTGTGTGAGATCCCCTATCACAACAACCTGTTATAGAGTGAACCCATGTGGAAGAGTGAAGAGACTGAATTCTGAGAATCAAATGCCTCCTCACCCAAAGCACAAAAATAAAAATATTTTCAGAGGCAGAGAACAAAATTAAGACAGGGATCCATACCAAAAGTAGGATTCTATTCTATTTTCAGTGACAACTCTTAAGCAAGTTCTTGCTTTGCAATTCAGCTTCCCTTCATAGAAAACCAGATTTTTCTAAGAACCCCCCACCCCACCCCCCTGCCAAGAGTGCTTTGGGCTTCTTTTGTGGGCTGGCAAAGAATCCAGATGGGCCCTCCTCCTTGATATGAACCATTCAGCTGATGTCCCATTCCTTGCCTTCCCAGACTCAGACCATGGAAAGGAACAACATCATTGACTTCAAGGCTTTAGAGAAAGAGCTGCAGGCTGCACTCGCTGCTGATGAGAAGTACAAACGGGAGAATGCTGCCAAGTTACGGGCAGTGGAACAGAGGGTGGCTTCCTATGAGGAGTTCAGGTTGACTTAATGCCGTTTTTCTCAGTCCCTCCTGATATGGTGCACTATAGTGGATAAGAGCATGTGCTTTGAAGTTAGACAATTCTGGCATCAGTCCTGGCCCTACCCTCGCTATCTGTGTGCTCTTAAAAAAAAAAAAAAGATTTATTTATGTATGCATACAAGAGCTGGGGTACAGGCCAGCAGTGTGGGGAGGTGAGAGGATTCACCAGAGACAGAGTGGGGAACAGAATAGGCGGATCTGCTGAAATACACTGCTGAGGGGAGCAGCGGGCAAGACAGGAGAGGTCTGCTGTGCCATGTGGGTTGCTCCCTGGCTGACCAGGGATCAAACTTGTGTTGCAGAGTCTGCGGATTGCTTCATAGTGCAGTGCTTAACCCCTTGCACCGCCAGGGAGGCCCTATTATATTGTCCTGAGAAAAGTTTCAGTCTATAAAATGCAAAGTCCAGTCACCTTGAACCCACAGACAACATTAACCCCATTCTCCAATCTGTGTTTTGCCCACAGGGGAATTGTCCTTGCATCACATCTGAAGCCACTGGAGCGGAAGGACAAGATAGGAGCAACAATGACTGTGCCCTGGAATTGTCACAGTACTCAGGGAAAGACCTCCCAGGATGAGATCCCTGAAATCTCCCAGGTAGGTGAATTTCAGCCTTTTCAGCCCAGCAGAACTTTCTGCTCTAAACCTCCAATCCTGACTTCTTACAACACATACTTCTTCCTTACTTCTCACATTAAGCGCAATCCCAGAAAGAAAAAAAAAAGCAGCTGATGGTGAGGCTGAGTTGAACTGGATAGAACAAGTCAGAAAAGTGGGCGAGGCAGATCCCCTTCAGTCAGTCCAGGTCATATTTGGGGTTTTTTTTTGCCTCCAGGTTATACGGAATGATGCTGTGACAATGTTGGGAGGGAGACAAGGCTGTCATACCTTGAACACTCACCTTGGCTTCCTTTCTCTCTTCCTGAGGTTTCTAATCATCCCCTTCACCCTGCTCAGAGTTAAATCTGACTTACCTTTGTAGCACAAGGTTGTGTCCACCTTCAAAAGAAGGAAAATCCTGGGCCTCCCCTGGTGGTGCAGCGGTTGAGCGCTGGGTTGCGAAGCTGCCCGCAGCCTCTGCAGCGCCGGTTCGATCCCCGGCTGCTCCCCGGCCCCCGGAGGAGGGTCCCGCATGGCGCGCAGACCTCTCCTGCCGCCCGCTGCTCCCCTCAGCAGTGTCCTTCGGTCCTTCTGCCTGCTCTGCTCCCAGTTCTGGCTCTGGTGAATTCTCTCGCCCTCCCGCGCTTCTGACTGTACCCAGTGCTTGTATAAATAAATAAATAAATGTTTTAAAAAAAAAAAAAAAAAAACAAAAGAAGGAAAATCCTGGTATAACTGAGAATCTCAAATCATGGCCAGAGTTCCTCGGGACCCTCTCTCCCTGTCCCACCCCTAGGTCCCTCATCTAAAAATGAGGCCCAGAGGGATCGTTGCCTTCCCAGTCCTTAGAGAGCAGTACATAGCTGAGATCTTCTCCCCTCAATCTGAACTCCCTCTCCTTCCCTGTGATCCAGGAGAAAACCCTCCTCCAGCCTGACACCTCGGCAGAGTTCTACCGTGACTGGCGGCGACATTTGCAGAGTGGACCAGAGCGCTACCAGGCCCTGGTACAACTTGGGGGTCCAAAGCTGGGCCACCTCTTCCAGACAGATGTGGGGTTTGGACTTCTAGGGGAGCTGCTGATGGCCCTGGCAGATCATGTGAAGCCGGCAGACCGATCTGTGGTGCTGGGCATCCTGGACAGTCTGACCACCACGGGGCGCTTCACCCTCAACCTGAGCCTGCTGAGCCACATGGAGAGACAGAGCTGCAGAGACTTGTTTCAGAAGCTGCAGGCCATGAGTGACCCCAGACCTCAGCAAGAGGGGCTCAGTCAGGAGCAGCCTGGTGGACTCCAGGAGGAGGAGAGCCTATTGCAACAGCTGCAAGGGCTATACCAAGTGGATTGACAGGACCAGCTACCTTCAGAGGCCCCCATAGTCACAGGAAGCTTTTTTGGTAGTCTTCTTGGGGCTCTGCAAAACTGTAATGACATACCCATACCTCACTCCCTTCTCAGCCTGAAATTTTCAGAGCCAAAGCAGGAATCAAATCCACCCCCACCCCACTCCAGTTCTGATCTGTGTGGTTCCATGGGGTGGTCAAGAACCCAAGAAGTTGAAAAAGTTTTGCTCCCACCTTTCATCTGCCAGTCCTTTAGCCCACAGCCTGAGCCACGTGTTCTCCCCCACCCCAACACTGGCCATCCCAGTTACAGCGCCGCTCCAAAAAATGAAAAAGCACATTGTTAGTCTTCTATGGTAGACAAATACTGATCTCTGTCGCTCTTAATAAGAGTACTTTTTGAAAAAAGAATATTTATAACCCCCAAACAATGAATGGACATGCAACTGACAAATGTTTGAATGCTACCTTGTTTGAGGTGCACTATTTTCCCCCAGGGGTTGAGCTCCTAGGCAGGTTGGGCCTAAGAAAGCCCCAGGCCATCAGCTCAAGTCCAGTCAACCACCAAGTCTTCTTCAGATGTGCAGGTGCAGATGTCATTCCTTCCCTGGTACTCTCAACGGGAAGAACTTTCCACTGTGCTGGTGAGGCAGGGCCTGCAGCAGGGAGGCAGAGTTCCCTCTCTGAGCACCTGGGCCCTTGCTTCTCATATGGATATCCTGTGAACCATTCTTGGGCAAGTGCCAGTGTTCTAGAAAGGGGAGAGAGAGCCAAGTTCTAGAATGGTTATCCCTCTAGGAACCATAGGTCACATCTGGAACATTAGAAGGGCAGCTTGTACATCAGCTGGGAATAAATTGCTGAACGTTTGACTGTTTGCTACAGGCTGTTGCCTCTTTTCCTGCCTTCTTAATTCCTCCCTCATATAGATGGCTCCTCCTGGCAGTGGTTTCTAGAAGTCCATAGACCCCTAGTTACCTTTCCCTCTTGCCATCATGAACCTGGCCCATACCACCGTGCTCCTGTGGATGTTGGGGACCCTCCAGGCCTTTGAACTCGTGGAGAAGGAGAACATTTTTCAGAGGACGCCCTGCCCGGCTTTCCTGATGTTTGACAATGCAGCCTACCTGGCCGACATGAGCTTCGAGCTTCCCTGCCACTGCAAGCCAGAGGAGGTGCCTGCCGTTGTCTGGTACTACCAAAAGCATGTGGGCAGCAGCCACACCAAAGTGCTGACAGACTTTGATGGGCGGGTGCTGACAGAGGCAACCCAGGTGCGTGTGGGCAGCGACATGCTGGTTCGCTTCAGCATCCGCATGTTCAGCCTCTTGGTCTTCCAGGCCCAGCCTGAGGACTCGGGCTTATATTTTTGCGGCTCCAGGAAGGGGGACTACTTTTATGCCTATGATGTGGACATCCAGAGCAGTGAGAGAATGGTGGCCACCTTTAGAGACCAGGGCCAGGAGCCCTTTGAAGATGAGTACCATGGGAAACTCCACATCTTCACCACCTTCTGGGAGTGGACCCCCTGTGACCGCTGTGGGGTACGTGGGGAGCAGTGGCGCATTGGCCTCTGCTATCTGCAGAGCCCAGGCCTCTCCCCCCGCTTCCGTAACACTCTGCCTGAGGTGGTGTCCTGTGGTTCTCGGGCTGTGCCAAGCAAGCTTCAGGCCAAGGTCAAGGACCATCCACCCGAGTTACTGGTTCGGAGCTGCATGGTGCCCTGTGAGAAGACGGAGAAGTTCCAGAAGGGCATAGTGGCTATCTTGAACTATGTGTCCAAAGAGGGCAGCCGGCCCTGGGTGCCGCAGGTACCCATTCAGTTCCACAAACAGGTGCTGGGCCATGGACTCATAATCTCCTGTCCCGGGGCCCGGCCGGAGCACGCCGTGGCCTGGGACAAGGACCAGCAGTACCTCTATCGCACACAGTACCTGAAGGGGGTCAACAGGTCCATGAGGGTGTTCATCGACCATGGCAACCATCTTCACATCCGCTTCGCCCAGCTGACTGACCGGGGCATCTACTATTGCTGGCGGCAGGGGGTGAAGATCGCTGGGTTCCGACTGGGCATGACATCGCGAAGGCGCCACCGAATCTCTCTCTCGGACCCTGAAACTCGCTCTGCCTTGACTCTCACCCTGATAGGCTACCTGGTCATCACGGCTATCTTTGTCACCATCCACCTCTGCCGTTGCGGCTGTTACTTATTTCCCTCTTGTTCTGGCTTTCTCCCTAGGATTTCTCTCCCCTGGCTCTGAACACCGGTTGTACTTGAATGTGTTTGTTAAATGATACCCAGGATGCCAGGCTGGGATATGTGGCAATGGGTGTGGACAAGTCTGTTAGTTATCACCTACTTCCCATTTTCATGCACATGTCAGGGATGTGACCGTGGAGGTGGAGGAGGCCTGAGGCACATGGGAGGTGGGGAACAGAGGCTGGGATAGACATCCCCATGTGCTCGTGTGTTCTGACCGCTCAGATAGGGGAAGACCTGAACCTCTTCTGTGTTGAATGGCCTGTGTTTGAGATGCTTTATTTTCTTGCCTTTGAGGGTGGGCAAGTAGGTGCTGGTTGAATTGGGGGTATCAGTGAGAAGAAGAAAATCATGGAGGAAGCTTAGGTAAATGTCCTCTTTGTCTTCCCCCGCAGCTTCATCCTGGCACTGCCAGGTAGAAATCACAGGTTTGGGAGTAAATGTAAAGATGAGACTAGGGGAAATGGCTGGAAAGTGGAAATCATATCGGATTTGGGGCTTTCCTGAGAGATTGCACCCAGGTGAGACTAGGGGTGAGAAGAGGGGGTAAGGTGCAAAGGCCGGTAGGTGGAGGGGTGCCAGGGCTGCCTGGGCAGGTGGGCTCCCAAGGTGATCAATCAGAAGCAGGAAGTTGGGTCTTGTTCAAGGCCACTTTCCACTCTCTTCCCCTGCCCCAGCCTCCCCTGAACAGATCAGAGTCCACTCTAGGGAAGGTTCCAGCAGGTGGCTTTATTTTTCCTCAGTGCCTAAAGGCAGTAACTGTATCCTGCAGGCTAGCAGTGGTGGGTGCAGGCAGGAGTGGGAAAGGTACCAAGTCTTGAAAAGAGGGAAGAGCTCTCACTTTCCCTTCCCTCTGGCCTTAGTGGGGAGAGGGAGACCCTGAATGGGCCCTCTCAGCCCACTCTGGGCACATAACCTAATGCTCCCCAGTCATCCCTGGAAAGCAGAGCAGGCGCTCCCCCACCTCCAAGCTGCAGGAACACAACCCAGGGTCTTCACTTGGCTCCTGCCTCAGTTTCCTAAATTAGAAAATAGGGTGCTCCCTAAAACATGGGGGTGCACTTCATGATTCAGTTAGAAGGGATCCTAGGGGCCCTGGTTTAGGGAAAAGCCGTGGGTCACCTCGGGTTGGAGAGGGTCGGCTGCATGGCAGTGGCTTTACCCAGCGGTACTTGCTGGATTTGGGTGGGGGGAGCAGCAGCTGCTGGGGCTCAGAGGCCTGGGTAAACAGGGATGATGCCATGAGGAAGGGACCTTGAGAACTGTGACAATTGTACCCTGAGCCGTGGACGGCAGCCCTTTCTCTCCTGTTTCAGCATCTTCAAGACGATAAATCACTGTCTTGATTCCCATGACCCAGAGACCAGTGTGTCACCCACACCCCCAGCTCTATGTCCAGGGAGTCACCCCAACTGCCTCCTTTACCCTCTCTCCTTGCCCCACCCCTTCAGTCTGTATGGGGGAGTCCCCCTTGGCTTGACCTCTCTGTGCCCACACCTAGGAGCCATGGCGGTCCCCTTCTCCCTCCCCTTCCCTCTCCACTTACACTACAGCTTCCCCTAAGTGCTGAGCATCAAGCTCCCACATGCCCACCGCATGCCCACAACATGCCCACAGCATGCCACATGGCAGCTCTGTGAGGCTGAGATGCACGAATTATCACGCAGGAGGCTCTTCAGGGATCTGAGCAGGCCAGGAGCTCCGTCTGGTGACTAGCTGGCAGAGTACCCCCACCCACCCACTCTCTGGGCAGGGCAGTCCAGAGCCAGCCTCTGGCCAGGGCTACACTGCTTTCCCCTTCCTGTCTCAGAATCTCAGTTTTCCTCCAGCAGCCTGAGGAAGCTCCAAGGCGCAGTTTCTCCAGATGCCCCCAGAGACCCCCAACTCTGGCAACAGTTGCCATGACAACAGGGATTAGGGCACAAGAGGGTGGTTTATTAGATCCCCTTGCCTCTCCAACTTCTCTCCCCACTCCCAATTCTAACCCAAGCTGCTGGCCACGCACCTCCAGACCATCCCTTTGGGGAGAGTGTCCTACTAGTTGGAGTTTCCGGGTGCAGTGTGGATACTGTCTGACAGGCCTGATGATGGAACCCGGAACAGAGCTGGCACAGAGATGGAGCAGGAGAGCAGGCAAGGGGAGGGGATGCAGGGATTAGCTATCAGAGAGGAACAACTATCCTAGCTCCTGCTGCAGGGCCCTCCAGCTGTGGGGCAGGGGCCACTAGGTGGGCCCCCCTCACATCATGTCCTTGTGCTCCTGCTTGGACTCCTTAATGACCTGTAGGGGACAGAGAAGGTGCACAGAGCAACAGCTAAGCATGCACAGTGACCTGGCCCACCACTGCTAGGCTATGTGATGCTGGGTAAGTCCCCAGCCTGGGTCTGTCTTTTCTATAACAATATCAGGAAACACACCGCCCCACCCCATCCCACCCGCCAATGTATCAATCAGAGGGGAAGATGCCACTTGTAAATGCCCAAGATGGGTGAACTGATGGTGTATGATGAGCTAGCACTGTGGCCTGATAGGGGAGGGGTAAGACTGAGTCCCCTCTTTCCAGTCCTCTGGCACATTCCTTTGGTCAAACTGGAAGTTGAAAGTTGGGAATGGAAACTGCTAACTTTGATTCTCTTTTTTGCTCTCCAAGTCTGGCATTGGGGGAACCTCAATCTGAGCATGAGAAAAGGGAAAGCCCCAGTCAGGACCCCAACCAGGCGCTTAGACACCCAGACTCCCCTTAGAACTGCCGGTGGAGGGGCTGGTGCCTGGTTTCCTTTCCTCTTCCTGAGTCTCCCTGGGGAGCATTTGTGAGTTGTGGGGACCATCTATGTCTATGTGCCAGCGCCTGGTTTCTTCCAGAGTCTGGTAGAAACTGGGGACAGCCAGAACCCAACAGGACCAGAATTCCAGGCCTACCCTCCTCACCTCTCCATCCCGCATCTCCACGGTCTTCACCACGATGTTCCTCTTAAGGTGGCCTTCTGACATGGTCTTGGTGTCCAGGCTGGTTTCTGCAGGCATGAAGAGAGGTGGGCTCCTGTGGGCTCTCAGGCCCTAGACATCCACTCCCACCCCAGCTTCCCTATCAACCACACACCCCAATCATGAGTAAGAAAGGGCTGGAAAGATGCCTGCCCCAAGTGCCCACAGTGCTGGGCAAGCCCTGGCTGCTATGTCCAGTGCCACACCCACTCTCCTGGCCTGGCTGCCTCCCAGCCCCTCCACAAGCTCTTGCCTGGCACCTTTTTGACAGCCCAGCCCCAGGCTCTGAAATCAGGCAGGCCAGAAGTGGAGTCTAGGCCAGTCACTAATCAGCCACATGACTCAGTTTCCTCATCTGCAAAATGGCGGTGATGCTGCCACTTCTCTGGGCCCGACTCTCCCTCTGCTGTGTGGCACTTGACAATAGTACCTCTACCTGGTCCTCCTGATAACCCTTTTTATGCTGAACTGAGCCCTGGAAAAGCACATCTGCTGTTCCTAAATTTTCTAGCCCAGAAGAATTTTTTTCCTTAGCAAAGAATCACTTAATACATACAAGTAAGAAGGGATTTAGTACCCCCGCCACAGAGAAGAATATAACATGCCACACCCACTAATATTTAAAATCAAGAGAAGGGAGCATAAAACTTTATTCACTGCAAGAGCAGCAGTCCAGATGAAAGTAATCCCCTGGGCTGAATCAGCACTGAGCCAAGCAGTGGAGCGTTGCGGGTGGAGAATCAAGCAGTGAGCCTGGCGCTGGGGCTCTCTCAGTGACATGGACGAGGAGAGGCCGGGGCTGGCATTTTCTTGGAGGCCCCAGAGCACCTCATCTGAGCACCCAAGGACACTTGAGCACTCTGTCAGTTTGACCTACATTTACCCTGTGCCAGGTCCTGAAGGGGGCCCTGAGGGCCTGGGAAAACAACACACTGTTGGCCCTTTAGGGGAAACGTGGGAGGAGGGAGCCCTGGAGGGCAGGGAAATGGGCCTGGTGAGGCAGACTCCCTGTGAGGCTGAGAAAAGCGCTGTGTTTTTGTTTGAGAGGCAGCCGCTAACCCGAGAGAGCCAGAGCCGGAGGGGCTCCATTTACAATCTGGTGAGCCTGTATTGGTATAACTTGTATTGTGAAGCTTTTGAGATGTCTTGTGACCTTGTGACCTTCCCCTTCTTTGGTGCTTTTGCCCCCTGTAGTGACAAGGAGTTAAAAAAGACAATACATAAAACACTCAGATGGCAGAGATGGCTCCAGGATCTTGGGCTGTGGGCAGGACAGAGGTTGAGACCCTCACCGGGTTCTACAGTGAACAGGGTGCAGGATAGGGGGACACAGGGCGCGGAAGGGCAGGAATGACTGCTATCCCCACTTGGAGGCCCTGGACTGGTGTGTTCTGACTGGAAGCTCTGCCATGGGCCACAAAGGCCCCCAAGGAGAGCCCGAATCCCTTTGCTTTGGCCCCTGCCCCAGGTCTGAGGGAGGGGGGCAGGGAACCACCACCTTGAGCACCAGGCCCAGCTCCACTGACCTCGGATCTGCAGATTGGAGAAGGTCTGCACAGGAATGGTGATGCTGAAAGACAGCAGAGGCAAAGGGTGACCTGCTGTCCGAGGGTGTCCGGACGCCAAGCTCTGGTTCCGTGTGTTATGGTGACAGCCTCCGGTGCTCTTCCTTGCCAGGAAAAGCCAGCCCCACGGCCTCGCTTTCCCCAGCAACCAACATGCTCCCTGGAGTGCCAGGCGTCCACAAGGGACTTGGGTGTTACCTACGAGGGGCCACCTCTGTTCCAAGGAGAGCAGAGGCTTGGGGGACAGCAGAGGGGAGAAAGGTGGTGAAGGAAGTTCCCAGGAGAGCGAAGACATCAGGGGAAAAGAAGGGCAACCTTGGTTGGAAATGGGGAGTGACCCTCTTAGTTCAGGGTGCGGTGTGATGCAAGTCCTTGAAGGTGGGACCTAATCAACATCGGTTAAATCCATTCATTCATCAAATATTTATTGACGGCCGACTGTGCTGCGCAAGCACCATGCTGGGCGATGGCGTGGGAAGGGTCTGGACACCCCGGGAAGATGCAGCCAGGGAAGGGAGGAGGCAGCCGGGCAGGGCAAGCAGGGAGGTTCCCTAGAGCGGTGGTCAGGACTCACCGGTTCTCCTCGCCCTCCAGCAGTTTCCTGTAGGTGGCGATCTCCATGTCCAGGGCCAGCTTGACGTTGAGTAGGTCCTGGTACTCCTGCAGGTGGCGGGCCATGTCGTCCTTGAGGGTCTGCCCCTCCTCCTCCAGCCGTGTCAGCGCCTCCTGGTAACTCGCAACTTCCCGAGCATGTCGCTCCTCCTGCTCGCGCATCTGCCTTTCCAAGGACTCGTTCTGTGGGGTGGAGCCCGCGGTTCCCCCAGCACTGTCAAGCGCCCCACTCCCACTGAGAGAGACTTTGAAGTGTCTTCCTCTCCGCTCCCCGCCCCCCCTCCCCGCCATTGCCGCCTTCTGCCTCTTCCTCTTCCTCTGTACTCCCCATTTCCCCCCAAGCTCTCCCCCACCCCTCCTCTAATTCTGCCCCGTCTTCCTGAGAAAGTTTCCAGAGCCCGGCCCCCAGTCCTGGTCTCTACCCCGGCCCTTTTCCTCTTGCATCTTCCTGGGGTGGCAGGTCAGCTCCCTGACTCCCTGGGTTCACCAACCTCCCTGATCTACCCATCCCCCAGCCTCCAGCCTCCAATTCTCCCATGCTCACTGTGCCACGCAGGGACTCGAGGTCACAGGTCAAGGCCTGCAGCTGGCGCCTGTAGTCGTTGGCCTCGTGCTTGGCCTGGCGGAGCAGGTCGGCATTACGGGCAGCAGCGTCAGTCAGGTCTGCAAACTAGATGGGAAGAGAGTGCTATGCTAAGGGGGCAACTGTGGCTGCATGTGGGGATCACTGTGGGTCCCTGGGAAGGCAGGGCCCTGGGAAATCAGGTTGCTGTCCAGGTGACTCCCAGGACATTGGCCCTGTGTGGGATTGTCCCCTGTGGCCCACGGACGGGGGCACAGAGCCATTGCTATGTCTCTAACACCCAGTACAGCTCTGGGTCAGTACGTGAATGAGTGAACAGTGTTTGCCCCAGAATCCAGAGCCTCCTGCACTGGCAGCTCCATCTTTAGGACTGAACCCTCTTACCCGCCCCCCCTCCCCACAGACAGTGTGCTCTGGCCAGCAGAGCCCTGGTTCTCAGGGCTGTCTCTCCCCCAACTTGCAGTGTGGTCCCCAGTAGCTCCATCAGGACAAAACCATGCTCAGGGCCATGACTGGCTTCTGCCAATCACACTCTCAGTTCCAAGACCTGGGCAGCCACAGCCTGCCAGTTTGGCCAAGCCCAAATGCCCTTCCTTCCAAGATCTCCTCCTGGTGGTCCTTACACTGCATATAAATTCTGCCCCTCAGTGTTCTCTAGGGGTGCCATGTTTGGGTGCACATCCTATCTCCCTCTGTATCCCAGCAGCACCTGGCACACTCTATATTGAGTACAGATACTCAATAACCCAGGACACAGACCACAGAGGCTTCCAGAACGCAGGCCCCCAAGTGAGCTGGCCAGGGCTAGAAATCTAGCATTAGTATTTAGGAGCCATGTGACTTGGGGCAAGTTAGTTAACCTTTTCTGGACTTCAGGTCTCTCGTGTAAGAATAGAACTGACTTGGGCCTCCCTGGTGGCACAAGGGGTTAAGCAACGCACTGTGAAGCAATCCGGAGCCTCTGCAGCATGAGTTAGATCCCCTGCTGGCCAGGGAGAAACCCACATGGCAGAGCAGACCTCTCCTGACTTGCTCACTGCTCCTCTCAGCAGTGTACTTCGGTCAATCTGCCTGTTCTGTTCCCCACTGTCTCTGGTGAGTCCTCTTTCACACACACACCCACATCTCTGGCCTGTACCCCACCTCTTGTATGCATAAAAAAATCTTAAAAAAAAAAAAAAAAGAATAGTACTGACTTCAGAGTAAGAGAATCCATGCAAAGTACAGCACCTAGTAAACAACAATGGTGGCTAACAATAAGAGTAGCAGTAGCAGTAATAATAAGTACTTATTGGAAGTGAGTGCCCATGTGACCCTGGAGCAAGTTGCTCCACTTCTCACCCAAAGATTATGTTCTCCCAGCTTCCCCCACCCTCCTTCCAAAATTCTTTTATATAGAGCCAGGAGGGCTGCCTGGAAGAGGAAGACTGGCCCACACTTAGGGCTACCTTAGATCGGTACCACTCCTCTGTCTCATGCATGTTGCTGGAGGCCACTGCCTCATACTGCATGCGGATCTCTCTCAGGGCCGCTGTGAGGTCTGGCTTGGCCACATCCAGCTCCACATGGACCTGCTGCCGAGTCAGCTGCTCCTGGAGCTCCTGCATCTCCTGGCCAAGGTGAGAGAAGGGTACCAGGGCTCAGGACCCAGGCTGCCAGTGGGGTTTCCCTGCAGCATCACGCCTCTCCTGCCTGTTCCTCGGACATGGATGTTGGGTAAGGGAAATGGGCAGTTCTTGTTGGAGGAAGTGGTGTGGCGCAGGCAGGGCAGGTAAGCGGGGTAGTTGGAGGCCTCCTGGTGTCTAACTCCCAAGCCCAAACAGGAGCCTGTTCTCAGGGGAGAGTGACTGAGTCTCTGCGGTGGTGTCCCTGTGGCTCCGGTTCCGTGGGGTCATTGATTCTGAATCCATCATCTGAGGTCAGAGTTCAGTGCGATCTTTCTTAAAAGAATGACACTCATTTAAATGAAGACAGGTGATGCGGGTGGGGGTTGAGGTCAGAGGGACTTAACTGTGTGACCTCAGCAAGTCCTATAACCTCTCTGGGCCTCAGTGTCCTGTGAAAAGGAGATTAGACTGAAGGTCACTGCTATCACCCGGGTCTGTAGTGAAGACAGAAAGCCCGAGGCAACAAGGCCTGTTGTCATCCCCACAAGTGTGTGTGTGTGTGTGTGTGTGTGTGTGTGTGCGTGCACGCACCTGCACAATTTACCAGGTGGGAACTGGGGAAGCTCTCTTGCCTGTCTCCATCTTTGTCTCTGTCTCTTTTGCTGTCTCTGTCAGGCTCTGTTTCTTTCTCTTTGTCTCTGAGTATCTCTCAGTGTCAGTATCTCAGTTTCTGTCGCTCTCTCTTGCAGTCCCGATCTCTATGTTGTCCTTTTCTTTCTCTGCCCCGACCTTACCTCCTCGTGAACCTTCCTCAAGAACTGGATCTCTTCCCCCAGGGACTCAGCCTTCCGCTCCAGATCCAGACGTGCCAGAGTGGCTTCATCCGCCTCCTGGAAAAGGGGCAGGTTGGGGGTGGGGGAGCAAAGGGCCACTCTGACCCCAGGCTCCTCCTCCCCATTCCCCAGCTTTGCCTTACCCTTCCTTCTGGAATTGTGGGGAGCAGTAATCTGCTTTGGGGGACTGGGCTTGGGGGCTGTGTTTGGATGTGCTGCCCACAACCCTCTCCTCCCCCTGCCCCTCTCCTCCATTGCCCGGACCTGTCGGTAGGCGGCCAGATTGTTCTCAGCCTCCAGCCTCAGGTTGGTTTCTTCCTGGAGCCTGGAATGGGGGACAAATTCCTGGGTGGAGGTTCTTCCGAGGGCTCTTGGATCCCTGCTCCAGTGTTCCTGGAGGTGGCAGCTAGAATGATCCCCTCCCTCACACCCTCCTCCCCCCGTGAATTGTAGCGTGGCAGGAGAGGATCACGGGCGTTCTAGACAGAGGCCTTGCCTAGAGGGTGAGCAGACAAGGGACTTTGGTTTAACTCATTACTGAGGGGTCTTATCAGGGTTGGTGCACCTGCTTCTGCCCGCACAGGCGCGACCCGATGTGCACTCGCTGCAGCGTGTACAAGCACGCAGGCCCTCCTGCGCTTGAGGGCACATGCACGTGCCCTGCCAGCTCAGCTCAGTGCCATGCCCCTGGGTTGCCTCTGACCTTTGGAAATGGGTTTTATAAAGATCCCTGCTTCAAAGCTGTGCAGTTGAAGTGCCTTTGCTAGGGTCACATGCTGGTGATAGGCAAGTCCCCTCTGTTCTGGAGCCCGGCCTGCCTGATCGCTCCCCTACTTCCTTACCCAGAGTTTTGTCCTCATGCATGCCAACCTTCTCTCCATTCCTCACCATAGAGCCCAGGGCTCAGAATAGGTGAGTGCCCTCCCTGTAGTGTGATGAAGCACACAGACCCTGCCTGCTGGGGTCCCTGCTGGGGAGGTGGTGAGAGCACCCAGGCTTCCTGGCAGAGGTTTTTGGGAATGAGATTTCTGAGGCTCTGGGCTTGTGGGTCTGTTCCCTCCCATCATTTGGGGCGCAAACACCACTCTCTTCTCCCAGAACTGGGGAAACTGAGGAACAGGGAGGCAGAGCCTCCTGCCTGAGACCCTGCAGACCTGCAGGCACTTTCTCTCGGGGGCTCAGTCCTCCCTGCTCATGAGGCCCCTCTCCCCTGGCCCTCTCCTCACTTCTGCTTCAGCACTCCCAGGTCCAGCGCCAGGTTGTCCCTCTCCACCTCCAGCCGGGCATTGGTGGCTGTGAGTTGATCGAGCCGCAGCCGCAGCTCCCGCAGCTCAGCCTGGTAGACGTCAGCCAGCTTGGTGGGCTCCTTGGCCCGCAGCTGGTTCAGCTCAGCCGCCAGCACCTTGTTCTGCTGCTCCAGGAAGCGCACCTTCTCGATGTAGCTGGCAAAGCGGTCATTGAGCTCCATCATCTCCGCCCGCTCGCTGGCCCACGTCTCCTTGAAGCCGGCATTGAGTGCCCCAGCCAGGGAGAAGTCTACCCGGGCCGGGAGTGGAGGTGGCGTTCGGGCCAGGGAGAGGCGGGTGGCGGGCCCCAGGCGGCGGCCAGCCGGGCCCCCCACCACCATCTCAGAGGAGATGTAGGAACGACGAGTGGCTGAGGTGACCCGTCTCCTCTCCATCCTGGCCTGGCTCTGCTGGCTCCGGGCGTGTGCAGGCTTTATGGAGGAGTGGGCCAGTCAGATGCTGCCTGGGCTGCCCTGGCAACACCCGCTGGCATAGCCTGAGGGGGTGGGGCTGGGCCGCAGTCCACCCTCGGGCAAACCCGCTCACCCCTCCCGGGTCACTGTGCCCAGAGGCAGGGTCAGCACAGAGGGACAAACAGGCAGGGCCTGGTGCCAGGTGCTTGTTCTGGGGCCCTAACCACTGGGCAAGGAAACCCTTTCTCTCGGAAGGTGGGTCAAGAAAGGGCTAGAACAGATGACCTATGACCTGCCTTCCCACTCTTAGAGACCCTAACCCCGTCGTCGCTCACCAGCAGTCCTTCAAGTGCCTGCTAGATGTTGGTCATTTGGCAAACAACAAACCTCCTGCATCCCCTCAAGGAGCAGCCCATACTACAGTTTCATTCCCACCTGACTCCTGGTGGCCTCCCCTTGGGTCACAGATACCCCGCATTCCTGCTTTCTTCCCATTCCTGCACTTCTGGAATTGGCCCCAGCCCCTTGTCTGGAGGGCCAGCCGAGGCCTCTGTCCAGGGGGAGAGGAGAGAGGGAAGGTGGGCAAGAGGAGGAAGACCCACTTCCTGGGCCACTCACACCCCCACTTCCGTCCCACCAGGCTCCCCCCTTCCTTGCTCAGCCTCACTGCACCCCCTCCCGGAGCTGGCGCCTTGACAGCTCCACAAAGCAGTTACGAATGAGCTGGCTGCCCCAGCACCCATCTTTGTCCTGCAATGCCCTGTTTCCCTGGTCACCCCTCACCTCACTCACTCTGGAGATTTCTCTTTTGAGTTCCCACACATTGGGCTGAGAAGATGGGAAAGGCCTCCAGGGTCCGTGGATTTGGGAACCCGGAGTCACCGGGTCCAAACAGGAGCCTGGGTTCTGTTGCCCCTCAAGGCTTCAGATGCGCCCACCCGACCTACAGGTCCAAGCCCGAGCCAGGCCCCTCCTCCTTCTGTGTCCTTGAACTTCTGGGAAAGAGGCTGCCTCCTCTCCCGCCCCCATGCCCGCTCCCTGTGCTGGGCACTTGCTGAATGGAGCCTTGTTCTCCACTGCCAGTGAGGGCGCCACACTTGAGGCAGCCCACAGAGGGCTGTGCCTTTTCTATCCTAAGATGTCAGCCTATTACGCGGGGTACGGCCCCAGCCCCCTGCTCAAAGAGCTTCTCGGAAAGCATCTGAGGAGGGCTGGGGGGCAGTGGGGAGCAGGCTCTGTGCCCACCTCTGACCATTGTGTCTGTGCCAAGGTGAGTCATCCAGTGGGCATGAGGGGAAAGCCCTGGGGTGGCCAGCCCAGCCCCACCGGGTTGGTCTCTAGTGCCCAGACAAGGCCTGGCTGCTCCCCCTTCCCCAGCTCTCAGGGCTCCTGTTTGGGTAGTGCCAGGTTGTGGAGATGCTGTCTCCTTGGGTGTGTCACGGGCTGCTCACCAAGGTTTCTGCTGTGAGTCCCAGCACAGAGAGGAGGGACCCACATCTCTAGCCACGTCTGACCCCTGGAGCCTGAGCCATGGGTTCTCCTTGGGCAAGGGAATCTTGAGGAAGGGATACCCAGTGACTTTTGATCCTGCTATGGGTTGGGGAAGGACAGGGGACATTAAAAGGAGAGCAGGACTGAGGACAAGTCTCAGTTGTCCCAACTCTCACCTGCGGCTGGGAGCGGCCTGCTTGGCAAGCAGCAGTGTCCTCTTTCTGTCCAGTTGAAATGGATGCAAAGCAGTTCTGAGGGGAGAGACGCATCAAGGTTGGGGAGGGCTTGTGTAGGGGCTGGAAGGGCCAGTGCGGGTTCTCTGTGATCCTATGTAGACTGGTAAAGGAGAGTCCTGGAGCCCTCAGTGGCTTTTCAGGCTTTTATTGACATTTTACTAGGTACATGGCAGGCAGGGGTGCCGGGGCGGGGGTGGGGGCAGGAGGCTGGCAGGTCTCCTAGCCCCCTGCAAATCTTCATTCTTTCTGGGCTCTCCGGTGTTCTCTCGCGGTCTCATTCTCTCTCTTCTGCTTGTTCTCCTGGCATCCTCGTGACGCCGCCCTTATAGGTCCAGTTTCAGCCCAGGTGTACCCACTTACGTATGCCCACACCCCACCCCAGGTGCCCGCCATCAGGCATGCATTCAGGACTGCAGGGATCCATCATTAATCCTAATGGCGGAAGGGCAGAAAAGCCCGACAATCATTTACCCTACAGCTTGTCAGAGAGGCCCAGAGACTTCCACCCATGTATGTGAGACAAGGCTGGCTTCAGCAGCAGATGGAGAACCCCCGCCCAGCCTTCATCCACCTCCTTAGGCCCCTTGCTCCACCTTCACCCCCACTCTGACTTCAGACCCATCCCCACGCTCAGCCCCTAGCCACATAAAGATGTCCAAGGAGAACCAAAGAAGTAGACACATTCGATATCGTGGTTGTTTGCCAAACTTTCATTATTTTTTATTACACATTGATTGTTGAAAAATCAGCAAATGCAGATAAGTAAAACAACAAAAAAATTTAATTAGCCATAATTTTGCCACCTGGAGATAAATACTACCAGATTTTTCCACGCATACAAATTCATTTTTTGGAGAGTGGGCTTATGCTGTACAAATTATTTTGTAATTTGCTTTTTTTCACTCAATATGTTGTGAACATCTTTCCATATCAATGTTTATCAACATCATCATTTTAACAGCTGCATGGTTTTCCACTATAGGCATTAATTTAATCAAGGCCTATAATGGGCTGTTATATATCCTCTCTCCTAGATTGTTCTATGATGCACATCTGCCCCAATAGACACAGCTCCCAACCTCCACTACCACCCGCACCCTCCAGGCCTGGCTGAAGACCCGTGCAATGGGATGCCTCCTCTCCTTCCCCTATCTGAGGGGCTCAACATCAGAAGCCTCTGGCCAACCCTGAGACTGATGCCTGGACTAGCCGGCAGAGGCTGAGGGCCATGGGGAGAGAATGCCTGGATGCTCCTCCACAGGGCTCTCAGCCAGGCCTCACCCCTGCTTCAAGCTGAGGTAGGAACAAGATGCCTTCCCAACCACCTGCCCCTCCCCAAGCATTAGAATTTGCTAGGATGCCCTCCTGCCTGTGGCACTGTAGGGGAAGGAATGGACACGGTGCAGGTTTTCTAGGATCCAGTAGACTGGGTAAAGGAGTTCTGGAGTCCTCAGTGGTTTTTTGCAGGTCTTTTATTGGGATTTACCAGGTACACAGCAGGCAGAGGTGCTGGGGGGCCGGGAGGCTGGCAGTCCTCCCAGCCCCCAGCAAGTCTTCATTCTATCTGGGCTCTCCGGCCTTCTCTCAGCTTCTGCTTCTCTTGCTTCTCTCTCGGCTTCTGCTGGCGTCCCTATGACGCCGCCCTTAAAAGCACAGTCTTAGCCCAGGTGAATCCCATCTACCTATGCCCACACCCCACTCCAGGTGCCTGCCATCAGGCATGCATTCAGGACCTCAAGGATCCATCATCTATCCTGATGGCGGGAGGGCAGAAAAGCCTGACATTTTCTTCACCCTACAGACACCCAAATGCCTCCTGGGACAGACCATCACATACCTGGCCTCAACCCACACTCAAGGTGCCCAGAGTTTTCTGAACTTGCTAGTCTCTAAGACTCGATTCTGTTTCTTGACTGCTGCTTGAACCCCTGCCCCTCTCCTAGTGCATGGCACCATGGTGGTCCCCAAGCTTGGGTGGGATCAGGAGAATGTAGGTCTCTGGCGGCCACCTGCTGGTGATCTCTGCGTGAGTCCATCCATTTTCCGCCCAGCCCTGAGCAAGGGAGCTGGGTCCTTGTGGCCACTAGATGGCAGTGCTCGGCCACCCAGGTCCCAGCGGCCTGCCGGCCACCGCAGTTCAACTCCGGGAGAAAGCTGTTCTCACAGCTGTAAACTTTCTTAAATGCAAATTCATATCACCTGAGGGGTCACTCCTTTTTGCTCTAAGTTGCCCCTGTCTGCTCTTGTAGTGAGCTCTAGGGGAGAGGACAAGACCCAGGCCCCTCAGTACCCATGCGATCTTCGATGACCTCAGGAACATTCTAGTCTCCATTTTCACATCTGCAAAAGGGGGACTCACCATACTTCCAGGGCAGTTGTGAGAATAAAATCAATGAAAGCTGGACATATTGGATGCTTGGCAATCATAGCTTCCATTTAACCACCGCAGCCAGGTGTTAGCACCTCTCTACCTGCTAGCATGTGACGCTGGGGCTGAAGGGGTGGCAGCCAGGTCTTCCAGAAGGCTTCGATGGGGGTGGGGCAGGGCAGTGTGTGGGCCATCTCTCCTCTTAAGGGCAGCTACCTGGCGTGTGAATGGGACCCAGGGGGCAGCAGCCAGGGATGAGGGGGTGGGAGACAGGACCATTTGTCCCCAGATCACCAGTCGTTGGTGGCCTTGGACAGGCCAGGGGCCACATGAGCGTTGTCTCTGGCTGCCCCTAGCACACTCAGAGTAGCTGTTTTCCAGCCGGTTTTCCCTCCCCAACTCCCTGAGTAGGTGCTGCTTCCTCCATCCTGACCTGCCCCAACCCTGGACCGGAGACCTACAGGGCCTTCTGGCTTGAGACACCCTTGGTGGGTCAACTTCTCCCATGGGTGTGCGTGTCTTCTGCCTCTCAGCCTAAAAGGGACTTATTGATACGGGTCTTCTTCCCATTCGAATGGCTTCTCCCTAAGGGTAGGGTCAGACTAAGGCACCCACAGGACAGAAGCCATCCTCTCCCCTTGCATGGGAACTTCCCGAAGGAGGACCCATGGTTTAGTGTCTGAGAGCAGTTCCTTGAGGACAGGAGTTTCTACCCTGGCAGTTAGAAGTGGCTGCCACAGGCCAGGGCAGTTGTTTCCCCACTCGCAGCCTGTACCCAGCCAGGCTCTGCTGGTTAGAGCCTCCTTCTGTACTCTGAGAGGGTACAGAAATGTTCCCGGCTGAACCCCCAGACTCCTACCTTTCCTCTTCCCTCTCATGCTGACCCCTCTCAGCATGTCAGTGGAGGCATCAACTCACTCACCTTCATGGACCCAGGGGTCAGGCTGCTGCACTAGGGTTAATAAGCTCAGGCCCTTTCTCTCCCTTCTCCCCTGCAAAGCCAGGGCCCACTCTAGCCAGTGCCACCTTCCAGCCTCCAACCCCGAGATCGGTTCTTTAATTGCTTTCCCCCAATCTCCTCTGCTCCCTACCGTCTCCCTTCCTGCTTGTGTCCCTCTGGAAGGGTGAGTGGTGGGGACAAGATGTGTCCCTTGTGGGAGCAGAGAGCTGGTGGGCAGCCAGTTGTCTTCAACCCAGTGGTCCTTCAAATGGACAGTATGATCTGGGGAGTGGGGGTGGGAAGGCTGCAGGTGAACTGAGGGCAGCCCTCGGGGTTATCAGAAAACAAAGCTGTGGTCTCCAGGCCTCTGACAGTGACTTCAGTCCCTTATACCCCCAAAAACTCCATCCCAAGCCCTCTGAGCCATAAGCCAGATTCTCTCTCGGAACCAGGATCCCCCAACTTTGCTAAAAGCCAAAGGGACATTTCCAGGGAAACCTGGGGACAGATGAACAGGGGCCTGAGAGGCAGGACCTCTGAGTTAGTAGTCACCAAGGAGGCTTCCCACATAGTGATGAAGTCCCCTGAGAGGGATCAAGCTGATGGCAGGGTATAGGGGGACCCAAAGGGGAAAGCCCAGTCCCCTGCCTTGATCAATACTAACACTGATGGAGATTTAGGTCTGCACTCAGGTGATAGGGACAGATGCCATTCTGATTTCCGGCATGAAGGGACCATGTATTATTCTATGTTTGCACCTCCTGGCACTGAGTCTGGCAGGAATTTATACTCCAGGATGGGTTCAGACCTGAGCTGCAGGCCTGAGGTGGGAAAGGAGGAGGTGTAAAGGGTGGGTGGAAGGGAGTACTTCTAAACTCCCAGAAGTGGAATGAGGGCCCCCAAGGTGGAAGGGCAGGGCGAAGCAGGAAGTGGGGCCTTACATCAGGCTGGGCCTGCAGTGGACAGGGAGCCATTGATCTCTTTATTTAGGAACAATCCAATCTCAGAGGCTTAGTGGCCCCCCCCCAGAGGTCAGCTGGGAGCTGGCTGTCAGCTCTCTGACCCCCTGCAGCCCCTGCCAGCTCCCTGCCAAGCTGGGACCAGCCAAGTGGCCTCCTGGCGAGCAGGATACCAGGCAGCCGGCACTCTCTGCCTGACCTCTCCTGATTGAGGGCAGAGCCACACGTGCTTAACTCCATCGGCAGAGTCTGTGCATTTAACGGGTCACCTGAGAGCACATTTTGCACCACAGAGTCACAAATGTTTGCTGAGCAAATGGCCAGCTGCAACACATCCTTGTCAAGAGTGACCTCTTCCACTTGCAAGCTGCCCCCAGCCCGGGCACATTCCGCCCGGTGCCAGGGACCCTGTTGTGTGAAGCTTGCCCTCCTGGCCCTAGTTACCAGCCGCCTTACCGGGTGCTTGCTACCTCTGCCCTTGCAGGGGTGAGGTGGACAATCAAATGAGATAATATATGGGAGGGCCCCAGGAAAGGGGGAATTTATTCAATTTGAATCCACCCAGCACTCAGAGAGGCCTCATGAGGTCAAGGTGCCACGCCAGGCCGCTGGAGGCTACAGATGTGAAGCTGTGCCTGCCGCTGTGGGAATCCTGGCCCACAGGGGAACAGAAACTCATTAAGACTAATTGGAGAGGAGGGAACCCCAGGCACTCGGAAAGAAACGATGCCGGTTTGCTTCTAAAGGGAAGCAGGTTGGTGCAAGGCACACATCCAGACCCTGATTTGAATCCTGGTGCTGCCACTTGCTGGTAACTGGGCACGCTTTGCCAGTCTTCCGGGAGACTATGTCCTCATGACACCTCCTAAGGTTGTGCAGTTTTACGAAGCTGCCTGCAGCCGGGAGGTGCTCCTCTGTGTATTCTCCAAAAAAACAAGTCAGATCTGGATGGGGTGGGGTTGGAGGAGGGGAAGGCTGCTCCCCCAGAACTAGGGACTCAGTTTGAAATTAGCAGCATTATTTACACACTATTCACAATGTGCTAAATACCATTAACATGTTTGTTTTCAGAAACAAGTTAAACAGACTCTGGTAATTTTGTTTACACTATTAATTCATCCAGTCAGCCATGTCTTCCTGGAGAGACAGAGGTAAATCTGTGTTAAACTGTCACAATCCAAAGGAGTGGAGGAAATCATATACAGTGTTGGAAACCAGAGTTACCTTAATTAAAGAAAAAACAAAAAACCCAAACCAATCTGACCAAGAAACAAATGGAGAGGAAAGCCAGGAACAGGGGAGGGGAGCCTTTCCGGCCCTGGGAGGAAGATTGCTCTGTGTTCTAGCCAATTGGAACTTGGCCTGGAGACCCCCTAACATCTGGGGACCACTAAGATGTTCCCCCTAACAGGGATCCTATCAATCCCCATCCAAGGTTATATGTGGACAGAACAGGCCTCCAGGAGAAACTGCCTCCTCACCGCTCAGGAGCAGAGGTCCTGCGGGAGGACAGGGCTTCAGGGGAAGGGGCTGGAGGTCCAGAGCTAAGAAGGCAGGAGCCAGGACGAGAAAGTTCTCTAGACTAAAAGTTCCTTGAGATCTTGAAGAATGGGAAGAAGAGAAAGGGGAGGTGTTGCTATCCTACCAAGGTAAAAGACACACACCAAGGTTGGAGAAGGTTGATTCATTATTGTAATAAAAATATTATCTCTATATCTACATATATAGATGCATATATGTACACACGCAGAGAGGCCAGCAGTCTATCAGTCCAGGTATCAACAGCTCATATCTAGAGGTTAGCATTAAGGAGGAATTTCCAGTTCTTCTCTACACTGCTTTTTGCACTGAGTGTATCCTGTTTTAAACAGTGAAATCAAGAAAGCTACCTTCGTTTAGAAATCAGGGCACCACCACGTCTGTGTCACCACCAGGACAGAGGCCGGGGGCTGGGGCTCCTACTCTAGGCTGGACATATTCCTTTCCCTGAAGCAAGAAGGGCCACACCAGGGCTCCCCACCTCAGCCCCATAGCCTCCTCAGCTGAGCATTGGCTGTGACTGCACAGGGTCCTGTGTTAGACTGGAAGGTGGGTTTGGGGACCAAAACCCCCAAGTCACCTGCCTCGAGAGGGTGTCTTATAAACTTGGGGAGGTGATGGCAGCGCCCTTTAAAATGGCAACATGTTAACCATCGCAAATGAACACATACACTCCCAGAAGTGAGTATAACAAGAGACTACTAGGGAGAATAGCAGAATGAAAGATTGGGGGTGCTGTGGTAATAATGGAGGGTGTTGGCAATTGCTCAGAGTGAGCAGGTCAGGCCTCCTGGTGCAGGGGCCTCCAGGATCCAGGAGGGACTGGCTGGTCAGGACGCCTTGACAATGCAGTTCCCAGCTGCCAGTGCTCCTCCAACCCCCATCAGTTCCTTCTGGCTCCTCTGGTTGCCTGGGCAGTGGGGACTGGAGGATCCTGGCCAGTTGGATGCGGGAGGCAGGGAGGAAGGAGAAAAGTGAGGCTCTGGCCCACTGTCTCCCCTTCCCACCCCATGGCCTACCTCTTTCAACAGGTTCATCTCAGCACTGCTGAGCTGCTTGGAAAACCCCAGCCCCTCCTCCTCTTTAGCTCTATCTGCTGCTGTGGCTAAACCACCCCTATCCCCAGTGCTGGTCACCTGGGATTGTCAGGAGCCCAGTGGGCTTCTTCAAGGTGCTGCTGGGGAGGCGCGCAATGCGGCTGTGGCCTCGGCCTCGGCCTCGGCCCTGGGTGATGCCCAGTGAACGGGAGACTGAGGAGCTAAGGGAGGGGAGGAAGGAAGGAAGGTCACAGTGAGGCCTCAGGATTACGATGGGGGAAGGAGGGTATGACAGAGCTAGACACTAAGACTTAAGGGCAGGGGGAGGCTGAGAACCAACATCAGCTTCCAAGGCCAGATCTGGGGGCAGGAGAGGCAGTGGGGGAAGGAAAGCTAAGTGGGGTTTGGGAGGGCAGCGGAGATGGGCAGTGGGCGGTCCAGCCTCTGGATTAACCAGGGAGTGCTGACTATCCCCTATGCAGAAAGGGGCCAGGGCTGTAACCAAGAAGGGCGATCCCCTTCACCTCTAGTATAATGCTGCGAGAGCAGGGGTCCAGGGGTGCCTGGTAAGAGAACCAGGTGCCAGCTCTTCTCAGACTCTGAGACTGGCTCCCAGGGGCCCAGCTTCACAGCTGGGGTCTGTGGTTGGCTCAGGTGTCCACTGCCCTGGGGAAAGCATTGTCACCCCCTCAGCCTCACCTTACAACACGCCTCTTCTTGCGGGCAGACATCCCAGGGTAGGAAGACGTTGGTTTGGGCCCCTTCGTGGTGAACAGGGGCATGGGTCCGCTGAGGGACGGAGGAGAGTGAAAGGAGGCAGATCAGGAGGGAACCAGAAAATGGTGCCAGCCCCCTCTCCTTCCAGCCCCGGCTGGGGTGGAGGGAGGTTAGACACGATGACCTCTGAGGTTTTTTCCTTCTAAGAGGTGGATTCCACTCCCCACCTCACTCGGCCTGGACTGACAGCTGAGTGACAGGCCTGCTCTGGGAGAACATCCAGATGTCAGTTTCTGGCACGTCCGGGGAATTGGAGTTCAAACAATTTCACCCTTCCACCTGCCCAGCTCTGAGCTGGCTCCTGAGGGGTGGTCTGGGCTGTGGGAAGGGCTGGGATGCAGTGGGCAGCCTGCTGTCAGGTCAGTCGCCACTTGTTCTTGGCCTTGGACTGTCCTGAACTGGTTGCTACTACTCTACCCTGTCATGTGGGCAGAAGATGGGGGTGAGAACTTCCTCTTCTTGCTGAAAAATTGCTGAACAAAGTTTTTCAAGCTCCCTTCCCAGTTCCAGATGCTGGGCTGGAGAGTAAAGTCCAGGGGTAGAAGTGGCAGAAAAGGCATTTCTCAGAGGGACATGGAACTCAGCCCAGGTCAAAGGGCCCAAGCAAGGAATAGAGAGGGCTGGGCTCCCCTCTTTAATCCTGCTCCCTGCTGGCCCTCTCAGTTGGGGTCCTGTCAGCTACCAGCACAGAGCTGGCAGCTTGGAAGTGCAGGTGGCAGGCCACCTGAGGGAAGAAAGGCCTTCACGGAAACCTTATTTTCTGCCCTCTGAGACTTGGGGAACACAGCTGATCACATCGAAGGGAAAGAAGGGGAACAGCAAGCATCCTTATCTAAGAGTTGGGGTGTCTTCCACTCCTCTTGGAAGCACCACTGCCCCTTGCTGACCCCTAACCTCCTCCTGAGAGGGCTGCTAAAAAGGTGACCCACCTGGGGATGAAGGGCTGATCCAGCCTGTTCAGCTCCTGGGGGACATTCTCCCAGCCCACGCAGTCATGGAAATCCAGCTTTGAGGAGGGTGCCTCAGAAAGATCAAAGGTGGTGTTGAGGTCCCGAGCAGGCAGGGTCAGAGGGGTGGAGCAGTTCTGCATAGCAGAGGGGCCCAGGGGCACCCGGCTTTTAATGACTGTGGCTGGGCAGAAGCGAGGGGAGTGGCAGGGGGAAGAGGCCCTTCTCCCTTTGGGGGTAGTGGGTCCAGATGGAGGCTGAGCCTCAGGCAGGGACCCCCTCCTCAGGCAGGGCAGAAAGGACTGGCGCTGGCGCTTGGTCCCTGGCTTTGGTGCAAGGTGGCTGTCTGACTCCAAGGGGCTCGGTCCCCTCCTCCTCTTCTTCTCCATGGGTCTCGGGGATGTCTGTGCTGGGGTCCGATCAGGCTCAGGTAGGATCCCTAGAGTGTGCATGCGGCCATTCAGTTGCCTTGCCATGGTCCGGGTCACAGGGCCGGAGTATCCTGCAGACTCTAGGCACAGTGAAGGGGGTGCAGAGGGGAGATCAGGGCCTGGCCAGATGGAAGGAGAATTTGTAGAATTTGGGCATCCACTGGAGACATGCAGAAGCCCCTACGTCCTCAGGACTGTGTGTGTGTAAAAGTCCATGGTCCCAGGGGCCCCGCCTCCTACTGAAGCATAACCCAGCGCCAGAGGCCCTGGCCACTCAGAGCCACCAGCAGGACCAGGCACCAGGGCAGAGGCAGCCAGGGCTAAGACTCACTTGACTCTGAACACAGCTCCTGAGCTGGAAGCGCCCCTCTGGCTGGGCTTGGCATCCTCGAGGCCTCCACTCCGGGCTCTGCTTTTTCTGATTGCACGAGCTGCTGCAGGGTCTCAAACTCTGCGATCATGTCGGGAGTGAGGAGGTTGGCCGCTTGGAGCAGGGAGTACTGCCGCTCGGCCAGGCACAGCACCCTCAGTGCTAACCTGGAACAGAGGGACGGGATTGCCGCCTCAACTCAGACCTGGCCCAACCGGGGTCCTCCTGCAGTGCACCTGTCCCCATCTCTCCAGGTGTGGTGAGGACCTGGTCTCCTGGGTTCCGCCTGCCTTGTCCCAGACTGGCTGGCCTCATTGCCCCCCCAAGCCTCGGCTCCTGCTCTGCCACATCCCAGGGCTGGCGAGATGGCCACAAGTAATGGTGGAGGTTTCACCCACTAACCAAGCCTCAAAACAAAGAAAGTGATCCCAAAACAGGGAAAGAGTGCTAAGTGACCTTGGACTCAGTTCTGCCACCTCCCAGCGCTGTGACTTTGAGTCCATTTACCAGAAGGACAAAGTAAGGTAGACTCAAGCCAGACTGCCAGCTCAGTCCCTGCCCTTGTGCTTCCCCGCTGTATGATGCTGGGTGTATGGCTTAACCGCAGTCTCCGTATCCTTAAAATGGGAATAACAAACGTGCCCACCTCGTGGGGTTGTTGAAATTAAATGAGTACCTAGGGTGCACTGTAAGGATGCTGACCATTGCTTCTGTAAAGTGGCAAACACAGCATCACTGAGTTAGGCTTGGATTAGACAAGATAGGCTATGTGGATCTTGGTTCCAAGAAGCCCCTCAAAAAATGCATTTGGTAGTATGGTTGCGATTGTGAGAGCATGTATGAAGGGACGCGTGCTCTACACGCACAGGGGGCGACTGACAGGAAATTATAAGGGTAATGGGATTACTGGTGCTGTGAATTTAGATTCTAATAAAGCAAATTTTCTTTCTCTAAGGCAACCTATGAGAATAGAATAAACACAATTATCTCGGTGGGGAATATTCACGGCAAATAATTTATCCTCAGGTAGCACTACCTGCCTGGACATCTCTGAGGCCATTCCTCTGCCCTCGGTGCGCTCTCAAATTCATTTTATAAAGCAGCCTCAAGGTCTTTTTGAAAGGAGGCAGGATAGAAATTAAAGAAGACACAGCAGAAACTCATTCTATATCCGCTTGAGTCACACGTTATAGGAAGATTGGATGACTGAGAAAAGTGGGTGTCTGGGAGAAATGCCTTGGGTGGGATGTAGGATCCTGGGCTGTGTCAGAAGGCCCTCTTGTTGTGTGGCCCCAGGCAAATTGCCTCTGTACCCCATCTGGCAAATGGGGAGTTGGTCTATGTCAGGGTCTATTTCAAGGACCCCATCAGAGGATGGAGCAGCTCTGCTTTATTTATCTGATCTGCATAGCCGACTTCAGCGGTAGATTCCATTTGAAGAAAGGATTTTGCAGCTGAGGGAAATTCTGAAAAACCACCGAACTGGAAAATCTAAGATCTTACTCAGTGGCCTGGTGGTCTCAGATTCCATATTCTAAAGTCAAAGAGAAATTATTTTCGATTATCTGGTTGTTAGGGTGTTTCCAAGTATGGAAATGATCTAGAATGTTCTGCAACCCTTAATACTTGGAGTTTTGTCACATTTTAGTAGCGCTTCAGCTCTAAGAGGTAGGGAAAATAAGGGCTGGTATTTCCAAATTATAGCCAAGGTTGAAGTGACTTGTCAGAGGCCACAAAGCCAGAGGCACAGCAGAAACGAGAACCCTGATGCCCTCTGTCCTCACAATGGGGGACACCAGGCAGAAAGACCCTGAGTCATCAGTGGCTGTTCCCTGGGGGCCGAGGGGACATTCCACTAGTGCATCCCTGCCCTCCCAGGGCCCCAGGGAGTCGGCAGCAGGAGACAGATAATGAGCCGCTGATTATTCAGGCTGCAGCATTTTTGCTGAGTCGGGAACAGACACTCCCCAACAAGAAACAAAATTAAACAGGCCCTTCTGTCCGGAAGCTTTAAATACACTGCCTAGCGTGAAGCATGCTGGGGAGGGAAGAATGGGGTTGGCAGCAGCATGGCTAAGTGGCAGGGGATTTATGTTCTGGGGGCCAAAGGAAAAACACACCAGCGGTGCTCTACAAACAAAGAATGGCCCCCAGTGTCTCCTTGGCTTAGGGTGGGGCTGTGTTCACTCCTGAGAAGAAATTGCCACCGTGCATGGATGGAGATACCCGATAAACACCTGACTCGGGGAGGCTGCCCCCCCTCAGCCTCAAGCCCAGCCTCTCCTGGCTGTTCAGTCCCTGCTTGCTGCGGGCGGGTAGCTGGGCCTGCAGACTGGAAAGCGGAGCTCTCACCCAGCAGCCCTGCCCTCGCTCGAGGCTTGCCAGCTGTCTGGATGGATTTCAGGGTTTTGCTTCCCCTTCTGTTGAGCTGCCAGTTACTTGGGGGAATAAATAGCTGATGATAAGTAAACAGAATAGGTGATAACATCAAGTTGTTGAAAACAGACCAGGGCAATGTTGGTGAAAAAAGACTTGACTCTTAACTGGAGCAGAACCAGAGCTTCTGGGACATACTTAATGCTAACGCTCAACCCAGGAGGCTGGAACTCATCGCATCCCACCCTGAACCCCAGAGAAGAGCAGGAAGACACCTACTGCTTAGAGCGGTCCCCATCCAGGTTCTGTGGGGAGAGGTGGCCCACGATGGTCCTGGGCTGTGGGGTCTGACCAGGGGACCCTGCCAGCGGGTGTCTGAGGGTCTGCTCCGGCTCCTGGGTTGGAACCTAAGGAAAAGGGCAGTCAGGAAGAGGGCGCGGGGTGGCCTCCTCCCTTCCAGAGTGGTATCTAAAGCCTTTCCCTCCTCCGAGCAGGGAAGACAGCTCCTGGAACAACCAGGTCCTGGCAGAAGCTTTCTCTCACCCAGGCCCCCCTCCCTGCTACTAACACACATGCTCCACACTTGCAGACACCCAGCGGCTGACAGGGTAGTTCTTCCCGCCCAGGCCTTGTAATGACTAAGATGTAAGGCACCCAGGTGAGAGCCCAGGGGCTGCCAGTGGGGAGGGCCCCACCTCCCAATGCTCCACAAGCTCCCAGTCATACCTCCTGGACGGGGCTTTCGTCCTTGTTCTCTGGGGGCTGCTCCAGGTCTGATGAGTTTCCGCCCGTGGCCCTCTCCTCCTGGGTCTCTGGCCCCTGGGTCTCTGGCCCCAGGCTCTCCTGTTGAAGGACTGTAGACCTTGGGTGGAGCTCTGGACAACAGGGCTGGCTAGGAAGGCAGGATGGTGAGGGGGACCTGGGAAGACTAAGGGGGAAATAAGGGATTTGAGAGGCAGGAGAGGGGCAGGCAGAGAAAGCAGGGAGAGGGTAAGGTCTCGTGGCACCAGGTAGTATAGTGCCCAGAGGGTGGCTGCCGCTGAGGGTGGGAGGAGGACTCAGGAATTTCTGGTTTAGGAAACAATGGTACCCATCCCTCACCTGCACCCTATTTGAATAGCAGAGACTGCTTTTGTGGGCAGGGATGTCATTTACTTATTTAACACAGAGCATTCTAGATGCTAATCGGGGCGCTGGGTGGGAACCCCTAGCCCTGGGTATCAGAACAGAAGGAGCCCTAGCCCTCCAGAGGCTGGAGGAGGGGGACCTTCACTGTTGAGCTGAAAGCTAGGGGGGTCGGGGATGGCGGTATGAGAACTCACAGTTGTTGTGAAGGACCTGATTTGGGGGGTTGCTGGGGGGCGAGGGCTCCTGCCTCATACACGCGGAGCTTCTCCTTCAGGGTGGCCACCTGGAACAGAAGCACCCCAGCCCCTCAGTCCCATGTGAGCACAGGCCATGAGGGGCGGGCACAGAACCCTGGCCACACCCCAGTGCTCCTGTTTCTTGCGCTCCTGCTCAGGAGGGTGGCCTCCCTGCCGAGCTCCCGGGGCAGCTCCTCACCTCAGCCTGGAGCTGCTGGCAGATGGTGGCGTACTGGCTGATGTGACAGTCCAGACTGATCACATTGCTTTTCAGCTGAGATGGGGGCATAGGAGAGAGATTTGGGTGTTTATTTAAAGCAACGTTAGCAATTATTTCCATAGCCAGGCACTGTGCTAGGCACCTCATATTCCCTGCCTCGCCCTCACGATGGGGTAAACAGAGCAGGCGAGGTCCTGGCTTGGCTGAGATGGCATTAAGAGAGAGAGGTTGCCTTTGAATCCCAGCCCCTGACTTCCTGGACCAACACTCTTACCAGGCCAGGGGCTTTTCAGCAGCAGCTGTAGGAGCGCCAGGGCTCCCTGGAGGAGGCAGGGGAAACCGGAGCAACAGCTTTAATCTGGGCTGCATATCGGTAACTATGCTGTCTGGCTGAAAACAGGGCCCTGCTGCCACAAACAAGTCACTGGCTGACACTCGTTTTGGAGACCACCCTGCCTTCCCCAACTGGAGTCTCCCAAGGACCAGGACTGTGTCATTTCTATTACAAAGGATTTCCCTGAAGACTGAAGCTGGGGAGCTCCTTCCCTCTGCCTTGTGGGAATACTTGCTCCAGGGCATCCTGCCCCTGTCCCCTCCCGGGCTGGGGGCTCCCCCATGCCCAGATTGGCTCTTCTGGGTGGGCACACACCGAGAGTTTGATCTCCTTGGCCCGGTCGGCATACTTGAGGGTGTTGTAAGTGTCCTCGTAGGTCAGGCTGGAGGGGCTGACAGCAGCGATCATCACGGTACGGCAGTTGCCCCCGATGGAGTCCTTGAGCAGGCGGGTCAGCTTGCTGTCCCGGTAGGGCACGTGAGACTTGCGGCCCTGGGGGCAGCGAGTGGGTGGGGGTGAGGAAGCTGTACTAGGTAGACCTGGGACTGGAGGAAGTGAGGGGCCCTGGGATCCTGGGCTTCAGGCACCGGGGTCACTATCCTGGGAGCTCGTGGGGCTGTGCAGCTTTACCTTGGCATCAGCCAGGGCGTTGAGGACATTGATGAGGGCCAGTAGAGAGCGGTTGATGTTGGCACCCTCCCGCAGGCGCTCCCCCTTGGCGTGGGTACTGGATGCCCGCTCTGAGCCAGCCAGGTCAATCAGGCTCATTTTGGCCACTTGAAGGGCTTGGGTCAGGCCTGGAACCCGGTCCTGCTGCTTCACAAAGATCTGGGGACAAACAGCAGGGCTTGAGGGGGCTCTGGGTATCTGGAGGTCCGGCTTCTGCTTGGCTCCGGGACCCATCTCACCTGGAAGATGGCGTGGGAGCGGGAGGAAGTAGCATTGGCATCAGTGGGGTGCTGTGTACGGTTGCGGTTTCCCCTGGTCAGCATCTCCAGCAGCTGCTCAGCTGAGGCTGGCTGCAGAGGGAAGGTCCAGGAAGGGGGCTATAGTCTCCCCAGCTAGAACCTGTCCCCCTGATAGGAAGACTACTTCCTTGCTATGACATCACCACAAGATACAGGACATCCCCACACTGCCTGGGGAGGGAACCCCAGAAGTTGCTCATCCCCCCCAAGCCCGGTTCCACACCTGGTGGAAGGAAAGTCCTTGCACCACTACCCCCTTGTCGGGGTCTTCACGGATGGCCAGAGGCCCCTTGGGCTCCAGGAGGTCATGGATCTGTTCATTGTACACCTGAGGAGAAAGGAAGTGAGGGAGAGGCCTGAGCGACATGGCTGGTCTGGAAGCCTCTCCCCTGCAGGCTAGAGAGGACGGAGGCGCTGGGCAGGGGTGCTGGGCACTTTGCAGGACAATGATCATTGACCAGAACTGGAGGGCAGGCCCAGTTTGCAAGCAGTCTCTCCCTGAGCTGCGGCTATACCAGCTGGACCTTAACTGGACCCAATCTGCCCACGTCCTAACACCCTCTCTCCCATCTGATCGCCCCACTCCCCTCTTTTCAGGTTCCTGTGACAGAGGGATCGGGAGGGAGCAGCAGCCCTACCTCCTGATAGCTGATGAGCACCTCGAATTGCTTCTCCTCCCGGTGGGCCTCCAGACGCCTATACAGCTCCATGGTGGTCAGGTACATGATGCCGGGGTCGCCCTCTCTTCCCAGCATGGTGTGTGTCTTCCCAGCCCCAGTGGCTCCATAAGCAAACACTGCAGGGTAGGGAGTAGGGTGGCGGCAGGGCCAGATTTGCCCTCACTAGGAGCTCCCCAGTGCACTTCCATCCACTCGACACCCCATCTCCCCAAGTCCCTTGCCTTTGGGTCTACAGTTCCTCTGCTCCTACCACTCACATCCCCTGTTCACACTGCAGCTTTTGAGTTCTCCCCATCTACATCCTGGCTCCCATGCAGGGAGCCAGGGCAGAGGCCTCCACAGACGCTCCACAGAGGCTCCGCAGAGGTGGGGGCTGCTCCCTTCCTTAGGACTGGCTTCTCCAGGCTAGGAAGATTCCTCTGTGGAAGGCCCACAAATCTGTCCCTCCTATCACTTCTCTCAGCTTAAAACACACACTGTGGGCGTGATTTTGTGATTAGCGTCTTCCCCCCACCCCACCCCCCTGTAAATACCAAGAGGACAGGAACCATGTCTATCTAAGTTGCTATTTGTACCCAGGGCCCAGTAGAGAATGCAAAGGGCAGAGCCCTCAACAAGTGCCCACTGCAGGCACTGCCAGAAGACCTGGGAAACCCTTAGGAGGAAGCAGGGAGGAAGGCTGTCCCATGAGGGCTCTATCTCCCTGCTGCCCAAGTCCTCACCAGAGCAGTTGTAGCCCTGGAGGAAGCTGTCCAGGATGCTGAGGGTGGTGTGCTGGAACACGTCCTGCTGGGTGGCCTCCTCACCAAAGACCCGGTCGAAGACAAACGTCAGATCTTTGCCCTTCTTCTTGGGGCCATCGTGGGTGCTGCCCCATTTCAGGCCAAGGAACCCCCCATCAGACTCCTCTGGGTCAAACACCAGCACCCGCTCATCCACCACTTGAACCACAGGCCGCCGCTGGCTCTCCAGCTCCCGTGGGGTGGGAGGCCGCAGCCGCACAACCACCCGTACCATGCTGTCCTCCACCGCCATCACCATGGCAACACCTGGGGAGAAACAGGATGCAGATGAGACTGGTCCCATCCTAGGTGACCAGGTGCATTCTCAGTCTTGTTTCCAAGGGGTCCTCCCCACCTCCCCTGCCAACATCTGACTTCCACTTCATACCTCAAGAGAATAAGAATACTAGGGCCACCACCAATATTAGTAAATACCTCCTTCTCACTTGTAATACCACCTTTGTCATATCCAAATGACTGCATTATTTCAGAAGTCTATTTCTGGGCTTCCTATTGGCCTCCACTGTCTGCTCCTGTGCCAATACCACACTGCTTCCATTCTGTTCCATCCTGTTCCATTCCTTTCCATTCCATTCCATTCCAGCATGCTTCCATCTAGTACTGCAAACCTACCCGACTGGTCTTTCTTTTTCATAAACTTCTTGGCTTCTTTTAGGCATTTATGCTCTCTTTGATTTTAAGAAAAATCAATCAATTTCATGTCCAATCCACAACTCACCAACAACCCCCAAAACCCTACTAGTATTACACTTGGAATTGTATTAAACTTACTTATTTATTTTATATTAAACCTTCAAGCAAGAACGTGGCTATTGCCCATTTGTTCAGATATTTTTTTATGTCCCTTAATAAGATTTCATAGATCGTCAGAGAGGTTCTGCAATAGTCCTTTCCACATAATTCTCAAGTGATTTATGGACTTAATTGTTCTTATAAATGGGACACCTTTTACCATCCCCATTTCCAGGTGGCAATTGCTAGTATGGAGAAATAGGATTGATTTTTACACATTTGCCTTATATCCACTGCCCTCAAATTCTCTTCTTAATTCTAATTTAATTTTTTTTATTTTTAAAGATTTATTTATTTATACAAGCACTGGGTACAGTCAGAAGCGTGGGAGAGTGAGAGAATTCACCAGAGCCAGAGCGGGGAGCAGAACAGGCAGACTGATGAAGTACACTGCTGAGGGGAGCAGCGGGCATGGCAGGAGAGGTCTGTCGTGCCATGTGGGACCCTCGCCTGTCGGCCGGGGATCGAACCAGCGCTGCAGAGGCTGCAGGCAGCTTCGCAGCCCAGTGCTCAACCGCTGTGCCACCAGGATAGGCCCTTAATTCTAATTTTAAAGGGCTTATTGCTATTTTTCTGAATATACAACTATATATTAGAAAACAATTTTTTTACCTTTTCTTCTCCACATTTATACCAAAGATTTAATTTCCCATCTATTGCATTCTCTAGAACTTCCAAAACAGCATTGAATAATAATGATAATGGGCATCACTGTCTTGCTCTTGATTTTAAAGAAAATGGCTTTAGCCCTTTACTATTTTGTTTTGGACAAATAGTCATCAGAGTATCAATTTATTCTATTTTTTTTAAATATTTATTTATTTATTATTTATACCAGCACTGGGTACAGTCAGAAGCGCAGGAGGGTGAGAGAATTCACCAGAGCCAGAGCAGGGAGCAGAGCAGGCAGAAGGACTGAAGTACACTGCTGAGTACACTGTGGCCGGCAGGAGAGGTCTGCGCGCCATGTGGGACCCTCCTCCAGTGGCCGGGGAGCAGCCGGGGATCGAACCTGTACTGCAGAGGCAGCGGGAAGCTTCGCAACCCAGTGCTCAACCGCTGCGCCACCAGGGAGGCCCTCTATTCTTTTTTTTAAAGATTTATTTATTTATGCATACAAGAGCTGGGGTACAGGCCAGATTCAAGGGTGAGAGGTTTCACCAGAGACAGAGTGGGGAACAGAACAGGCAGATTGACCGATGTACACTGCTGAGGGGAGCAGCGGACGAGTCAGGAGAGGTCTGCTGTGCCATGTGGGTTGCTCCCTGGCCAGCGGGGGATCGAACTCATGCTGCAGAAGCTGCGGATTGCTTCACAGTGTTGTGCTTAACCTCTTGCGCCACCAGGGAGGCCCCTATTCTATTCTTATTTTACTTAGAGCTGTTAATAGGACCAGCTAGACTTTTTATTTAATGCTATTTTAGCATTTCCTAATATATTTATATACTTATTCTCCTTTATTTTGTGGAAGTAATAAATTATTTGATATTATTCCTGGTATCAAACCAACCATGCATTCTTGGAAAAAATTTCACCCTGGCCAGAGTGAAATTTCAATTTCTAAACAGTCAAATATGTCTTTTATGTTTTTTATGTCATATTTAAGAAGACATTCCTTCCCCCAAGGTAATATGCACTTTTCTTATTTGTACAGGTAATATTTTTTCTTTCTTGCATTTAGGTCATTACCCAAATAGAATTTAATTTTTGTGTGAATGATGTGAGGTTTCTAAAGTACCTTTTATTTCTGAATGATAAACAATGATCTCAAGATCATTTATTTATTAAATAGTGCATTCTTTCTCCATTAATTTGAAATATCATTTAGCATAACTGAATTCTTATATAATCATCACTTTGTTCTGGACTCCCAATTCTGTTCTAATGATGTCTATTCCTTTTCCAGTAACTCAGTTTTATAATCATATAACATATTACCTTGCTGTTCTTTTTCTTAGCTATTCTTGGGCACCTTGTCTATGATTAAAGAATTAACTTTAAAAGTTATATGAAAAATCCTGCTAAGATTTTAATTGGAATTATTTTGAATTTATAGAGTAATATGAGAAGTGGGCTCTTTACAATAATCAAGTCTTCCCATGTAGGAACACAGTATCTCTTCATTATTCACAACTTTATAATCTTCAGTAAAATTTTATAGTTTTCCTCACATGGGGTTTATATATGTGTTGATAGGTTTATTACTAAAAATTGCATAATCTTCATTATAGTGTGAATAGACTGTTTTTAAAATTATATTTTCTAACTCATTTTTGCCAGAATATTTGTAAAAAAGTTACTGCATTTTGTATGCAGATTTTGTATCTGGTCACGTTGCTGAACTCCTTTTATTAGTTCTAATAGACTGTCATTGGTTCCCTTAGATTTTTCAATTAAATGGTGGTATAGTTTGCAAATAACAACAGCTACTTTCTATTTTTAGCTTTTCTATATTTAGTTCCCCACCCTCTATCCCATTAGGAGTGGGTATAGAATTTTAGCAAATGCTTCTTGGCACTTGCTGAGATGATCACAAGTGTTTCTTCTTCATTCTGTTAATGCAGAAGGTGACATGTCAGACTTCTTAAACACTTATTTGCCTCTTTCCTCTTGTATTCCCCTCAGATCACTCTTGTTATGTTTTTTGTTTGTTTTTTAATTTCTTCTTCATGCCAGCCTACCAAGTTAGGTAAAGATGGAATTTTTGGAATGCAGGACTCACAGATACCCTGGAAAAGTTCAGCCCAATTCTAGGGATATATTAACAGGGGCTGTTCCTGGGGGTGTGCATAGATGAATGCTTTCCCAGTAAAGACTAGGTCCTGCTGATAGGTCACAATTACCAGTCATTCAGCAAAGACAAGTGGGATTACTACCAGATCTCTAGCAAATGACTCATGTTTTTCCTTAGGAATGAGACAGAATTGAAGTCATTGGAAATTCCTATTCCTTACTCCCAAATTTCTTACCCACACAAAACAGGGGAACAAATGTAAAAAACAAACAAACAAACAAAACAACCAACCAAAAAACTTCTATGTATGTATACTCTGCTCCCGTCTCAGCATCCACTGTCATCATACTAAACACAATAACCAAGTGCTAACTGTATCGGGAATGGTTTTAAGCATCTTACTTGCATCATCTCGTTTGCACCACACTCTCACAAGATAGATACTATTATATTCACTTCTCAATGAGAAAATTGAGTGGGGATGGGTAAGGAACTTCCCTAAGGTCCCAATACCAGGTAAATGATGGAGTCTGCTTCCAGCCTAGCAGCCAGACTGCAGAGCCAGCCATGCGGCCTCATAACGACATTATATATTATGCTCCCTTGAAAAGGATGTTGCAATAGTCTCCCTTGTTTATTTAATAACTATAGTTCCTTTAGGTAATCAGTATTCTGTAAGCACCTTCAGATATATGGGCTGCACCTAATTTTAAACACTCAGTTCTTTGTCTCATCCTTGCATTTCCACTCCCAGGGAGCCCCACTCTAGCACCCAGGGAAATGAGGGCAGAGGGTGCCTGGCCCTACTGTCTGGGGTTGCTGATGGTTGCCTTAATGGCAGTCTCAGCTTCCCATGGGGAGGGTTTTATTGAGGAGGAGCCACAGAGCAGCCTAACATTCTAAGCAGGAAATTAAAAAGGGCACTGGCAACAGAGTGTCCATAACCTTTACAGTTCTCTCCTCTCTGCCTCCTGAGGGCCAGTGAGGCCGACTGTTTGCCTAATGAGATGTTTTCCTTCTTCCTGAGATAGTGCTGCGAGCTCAGGTTGGGAGGGTGGCAGTGACACCTGGCATGGCCATAGCTCAGATACCTAGGTCTTAGGCTCTGCATCTGACCAGTAGGGAGATCTTTCCACCAGCCACATACCCGAAGTCACATCAGCTTCCCGCTTTGAGAGCCAGAAAGAACAGCTACCAATCTGCTCCTGCCCCAGAGGGATGGGGAGATTAATGAGAGAACGTTTGTCAAGTTTGCTTTGATCCTCGGTTGGAAAGAGCATTTCAGCCCAAAAGTACAAGGGAGATGATTCTTTAATAAGATCTTCAGGCTTCTGAGCCAGCCACAGTCACGTCCTGTTTCTAACCCAGAGCAGCTCATTAAAACCCAGAGGCCAGTTCACTGTGGAGCTGAGGCTGGGACCTGGAAGCAAAGATTCAGTTGTTTTCAGGGGAGTTTCTCTGCTCACCTTCACAGGGACAGGCAGAATAAGCCAGAGCTCCTTAGAAGCCCCTGGAGAAGAATATTTAAGGATTTGAGGGGATCCGCCTGCAGATACTGGGAACTAGGGAGGTAGAGAAAGTACCTAGTCCCAAATGTTCTATTTTTATAGGAGCTGTGGTAGTGCCCCTCTTCTCTCCTTTATAACTCACACACTTGTGTTTTTTATCCTTAAACTTCAAGTGAGCATGACCCGCCTTTTGATACAGCCTGTGCAGACCCAGCAAGCAATAGACACTGAATAATATCTATCCTATAAATGAATAAAGGCCAGAGAAGATCAGAGTCTGAATCCAAGTATAAACACTATTATTAACTAGCTAACATTTACTGAGCACTTACTATGTATCAGGCACTATCCTAAGTCCTTTACAAATGGAGTCATTTAGCTTTCACAACAATCTCATTCTGTAATTGTTGATACAATTGTTAAGCCCCTACTCTACAAAGGAAGCAGGCGCAGGAAGGAACTCGTCACCAGCACGGTAGCAAGGCCAGGACTTGGGTCTTGTTCTGTCACCAGAGGCACATTCCTCCCCTATCCTGCCCTACAACTGGGTATTTGCAGCTCCTACAGCCCCTCACCTTAGTATCCATAGAACAAAGATAACCGGTCTTTCTTGGGGTGGTCCTGCAGAGGAAGGAGCTGTGTACTTTGTTCTTTAAGACAACCAGGAGCTGAGCGGCCTCCCTGGTGGCACAAGGGGTTGGGATGCAACCTATGAAGCTGACCGCAGCTTCTGCAGCATGAGTTCTATCCCCGGCCAGGGAGCTACCCACATGGCGCAGCAGACCTCTCCTGGCTCGCCAGCTGCTCCCCTCAGCAATGTATTTCAGTCAGTCTGCCTGTTCTGTTTCCCGCTCTGTCTCTGGTAAATCCTCTCGCCCCCCAAAACTCTGGCTTGTACCCTAGTTCTTGTATGCATAAATAAATATTAAAAAAAAAAAGACAACCAGGAGCTGTAATTGATGATAGTTTTGTTTATTCCTTTCTAATCATATCATCTTATATATTTATTTTTTTGGTCTAGCAATTCTGGCTACGACTTCCAGTACAATAGTGAATAGAGGCAGCAAGAGTGAGCAATCTTATCTTTTTCCTGACTTTATAGGGAATGCTCCCATTACTCCATTTTTTTATTGGCATAAGGAAATTTGCCTCTCTCTTTTTTTTTTTAAGATTTATTTATTCATGTATACAAGAACTGGGGCAGAGGCCAGAGGTGCGGGGGTGGGGGTGTGTGAGAGGATTCACCAGAGACAGAGTAGGGAACAGAACAGGCAGATCTACTGAAATACACTGCTGAGGGGAGCAGCAGGCGAGACAGGAGAGATCTGCTGCACCATGTGGGTAGCTCCCTGACTGGCCAGGGATCGAACTCGTGCTGTAGAGGCTGCGGATAGTTTCATAGTGCTGTGCTTAACCCCTTGCGCCACCAGGGAGGCCTATGAAGGTAGATTTTTAATGAATTCAATTTCTTCACTGATGCTAGGTTTGTTCAAATTTTTATAATTTCCTGAGTCAGTTTTGGTAAGTTATTTTTTCACTGAAAATTGTCCAAAGGGGTGTTCCATTAAAGTTTCTCTCTTTTAATCTCTCAGCAACTGAAGTCATGTCCCTCTTTTCATTCCTAAGATAATTTTTTCATGTCTCTTTTATTTTTTAATTATATTGCCAGAAGTCTGGCTCTTTTATTAGTCTGTTGAAAGTTATAGCTTTTGGCTATGTTAATCCTCTAGTGTAAGGTAAGAGTCTAGGTAATTAATTTTTCCTCTTAACTTCTATGCAATTCTTCTGTTGTCTTATTCTATCTTATTAATTTGGATATTTGCCTCACTAACTTCAGCTTAAACAAGTTTGAATGTAAGAATTTAAGACTATAAATTACCTGCTAAGCATTGTTTTTACTGCATCCCACAAGTTTCATAAATAGGATTATCACTGTTCCATGGTAATTATCTTTAATTACAAATGTGATATCCTATTTGACTGAGTTATATAAGTGTTTTTAAAACCCAAACATGAGTTTGTTTTCATTTCTTTTTCTTTTGTATTTTTAGATTAATTACTTGTAGAAAGAGGATATAGTTTGTAGTCTGATAACTGTTCAACTTTGCTTGTGGCCAGATAGAGACAATTTTTATAAGTGCCTCTAAAAACATGTTGCCTGTACACTTTGCTTAAACAGGTACAAATGGAGTTGGTTTGGATAATACAAAGAAAGATCAACAAATTAAGACATCTGAAAATCGGGCCTCCCCTGGTGGGAAAGCCGTTGAGTGCTGGGCTACGAAGCTGCCTGCAGCCTCTGCAGCCCCGGTTCGATCCCAGCTGCCTGCGAGGGTCCTACATGGCGTTTCAAACGTCTCCTGCCGCCTGCTGCTCCCCTCAGCAATGTATTTTGTCAGTCTGCCTGTTCCGCTCCCCGCTCAGGCTCTGGTGAATTCTCTCACCTCCTACGCTTCTGACTGTACCCAGTGCTTGTATAAATAAATCTTTAAAATAAATAAATTAATTAATCAATAAAAGACATCTTAAAATCACCTCTTCTGAAGGGGGTGGAATTTAATCATGAAATAAGCAGAAAAGGGCTGGATATAGTTGGCAGCTTTTGAGATGGGAGAAGAAACAGAATAGGGAGGAGATGGGGAAAAGTAATAAAACATTGAAAGGAAGCTCATTAAAAAAAAATTGTAGACATTCACCTCTGAGCTACCTGTAAATGTAAAAAAATAAGCTTCTAGCCCATAGGTTTGTTATGAACACTAAATGAGTTAAGTCAAAGCTGTGCTCAACAAATGTTAGTATTATCAGAATTGATATGACATACAACAATTTCCCGTGAAGCCAGAACAGCCAATGTCTTCAGTAAAATTCCCCGCGCTTCCCCTGGCACAGATCAGGTTTTACCTTTTTCATGCCACTTTCGGAGCCTTAAAGGGTCAGAGCTAAGAGGAGAGGCATCCGAGGAGCAAAAGCAGAAGGCCTGGTGTTCTGTCATACATGTGCTTTCAAAATTCCCTCCTTTATTAAGATATTTACTGAGTGTCCCAGTACTAAGTTACGATGGCTGGCACAGCTCTGCAATCAGGTCTTCTGTAACAGATGTGCAGAGGCGGTCCCCGCTACTCCACACCCACGCTCCGGGGGTGGCAGGCTCCGGGGGTGGCGGGCTTCGGGGGTGCCGGGCTCCGGGGGTGCCGGGCTCCGGGGCCCGCGGCAGAAGGGCCCGCACCGCCTCGCGCACCGGCGGGAGTCGAGAGGGAGTCCGGGACCAGGTCTAGGTCCCGGCCAGCGCAGGTCCGGCACAAACGGGCGGGGGTGTCGGGTCTCCGCTCCCCGCACCCCCACCACGCTCGGGTCAGACGCGACCGCGCCAGACCCGCGGGTCTCCAGGCCGCACCTTCCCGTTCCGCGCAAAAGAGGCCAGAGCAGCGGGGCCCGCGCTTACCCGTCGGCGGATCCAGCTGCTGGCGTCGCCACGTGCCCCCCGATCTCTCCGCCACGCACAAGGGCCCGGGACCCCAGGCGCGCGCAGCCCACACCCTCCCCGCCGCCGGCCCACCCGCGCCCCGCGCCGCGCGTTCAAATGAGCCGGTGGCCTCGTCCGCGCTTCCCATTGGCCGCCGCGCGGGCCGCTGATTGGTTGTTTCCTAAGTAACTAAGCACCGCGCCCAAGTGGCGGGCGCTGGCGGCAGTGCGCGTGCGCACTGCCCCTTCCGGCCGGCGGAGGTCGGCGGCCGAGGCTCCCAGCTGGACCGCCCCGACCGCCCGGCAGGAGCGAGTTCGCGGTCGGGGTGCGGGTAGAGGGCCGCGGCCCTTCTCAGTCCCTGGAACTGGGTTCATCACCAGTTGTAGCAACCACACGTCAAACATGTTTTCAAGCATGTCGCTTCTGAGAGCAAAATTGGCTTATTCACTGAAGGGATTTTTAGCTGCTGTCCAGGGCCTCTTCTCGCTCCGCAACCACCTCAAGAATGAACTTCAGGGGCCTCCCTGGTGGTGCAAGGTGTTAAGCACCGCACTATGAAGCTATCTGCAGCTATCCCAGCTGGCCAGGGAGCAACCCACATGGCGCAGCAGACCTCTCCTGACTCGCCTGCTGCTCCCCTCAGCAGTGTGTTTCAGTCAGTCTGCCTGTTCTGCTCCCCACTCTGTCTCTGGTGGATCCTCTCAACCCACGCATCTCTGGCCTATACCCCAGCTCTTGTATGCATAAATAAATCTTAAAAACAAAAAACAAAAAACGAACTTCAAGAGCAACTTTGATATAGAAAAGCCGCGGAAGCCCAGAATATTCCACCCTATTGGCTTTGACAGTGAATTCATGGCTGAATGTGACAGTCTACCCATGAGACCCTGCTGGGCAGCACTGACTTCATTCCCCTCAGTGGACTGGATTCTCGTGGACCCATGTCACGCTGACCCCCAACACCGAGGCTGTGGAGGTGGAAGAGACAACAGACAACCTTGCACTAGAAGGGAGACTTGATTCCAATCACTAGGGACTTAATCACTAATTAGTGCTGAGACTGAGGAAATCACTTCTGCTCCCTGCGTCAGTTTCCTCAGCTATAAGGTGAGGTGAAAGTACCACCCTTCCTTCTCACTTAGGAGAGTATGGATCTGAAACCCCCAGCATAGGTAAGATGAGCACTTTTGATGACTTTGATTGGGACGAATAGGTGATAGCTGCCAGGAGCCAATTGCTCTCACAACTTTCACTAAGTGGGTCCATCCCTACACAGACTGTGAGCAGATCTGGGCATGCAAGGAAACAGGAGGCAAAATTACCTTGCCAGACCTGCCATCAAGATGGGAGACTTGGCCCAAACACTTTATTCACTTGCCTGAGCCTAAATTGCCATTTAAACTAGCAGTGGCACTACTGGTTTAGTGAGGCTAAAACAAGAAAATGTGCCATTATTGTAAAGCTGCAAGAAAACCATAAAAATGGCTATTCTTGCCATAAAAATGGCTTCTAGCTCAGGGGTGTTCTTCTGTCACACAGGGATGTGCATTTTAACAGATATCTGGGGTGTAGTAGAGAGCTTGGAGTCTCTAGGAGCCACCAGGGAAGCAGGTGCTCCTTGTGTCTAGCAAGTCATGTCTTTCTTGCCCTGGTCCTATTCTGGTTTGCACACTTACCTGGAGAAAGTGAAGTGAGCCAGGGTGAGGCAAGGAGCAGAGACCAGCCCTGCTGTGGACAGTGGGAGTGGTACATTTACTTGCTTGAAATTTGGGGGCAAGCCACTAGCCTCTCAGAGGCTCCATTTTTGCAGTTATAAAATAGAGGATGAAATAATTGTTTGTTACAAAGATTTAAAATAATGTAGGCAAAGCACCTTGCAGACCTTCAATGAAATAGTAATGGGTGCTCTTGTATTCAGTCAATAAGTATTTATAATATGAGACAGGTGAACTCAGAAGACAGGGTGGTGAATGATAAACACCCATCTCCTACCTTCATGGAGCTTTCAGTCTATGGGAGAAATTTCACCATTAAACAAGTATTGACCATGGTATTAGATCTGGGCCTTGGTAAGAATTTGGGGGGAGTCAGAGGGAAGTGGCATGCAAGCTGAGTCTGAAGGAAGAGTGGAGAAGTTTGGCAAAGGTTGCTGTTCCTTGGATCTCAAAAGCCAATGGAAAAGAATTTTGCAGGTGAGAAGACCAACCAAGCCCAGGCTGCTGAGAGGCCTTGGAAGTGTTCAGCCAGGTCCACCTTAGTTGACACAAATGGAAAACCCCTGGGCCCTACACTACAGATGCTGACAAGGGGAGATTGGCCTGGCATTGACCTAAGAATTTCATGGTCTGGAATTCAGATGGGAGGGCTGGATGCAGAATTTTTGCTTTGTAGGGTAGCAGAAAATTTTTCTGAGCTGGATGTGAAAGGCAGTGAGCGAGCTCTGTCTTCTTCTTGGTGGCAAGACCAACTCCAGGTGCTCAAGAAGGCAAAGGGGGGCACATCCCGTTACTTGTACTACATGGTCTTTGCACTTAGCTGCTTCAGCTATAGATCAATTTGAAAACATCCCCAAACCAAGTCCAAGACATCAGTCTTGCCATCCTTAAGCTCCAGCTAGACTTTAGGGCTTAACACAGAGGCTAAGCACAGTGATGACTGAAAATTATCCACTCAGTTTATGAACAAGGAAGTCATAGGCAACCTTGGCAGGAGCCAGCACCGATAAGATCAGAGTGGGAGGTGAGAAAGTAGTAGCAACTCTTTTAAGGCAATTGCCTGTCAAGGGTTACCAAGAAAGGAGGTAGTAGCTAGAGGGGAGAAGTGAGGTCCAGGAAGGATTTTTAAGGATAGGAGAGATTTAAATGATAATGGGAAGAAGTTGATATAGAGTGAGCAGCTGAAGATTGATAGAGAGGTATGATTATTAAGTAGGTGAAGTGCCCAAGAAGGTGGAAGGAACTGCAATCAACCATCCCAGTTTGCCTGGTTGAGACCAAGGGGATTTAACAGAATGTGGTTTTAAATCCAGGGCACTCCTGGACAAACAAGGAGAGACTGGTCATCCTGTTAGAAGGGCATGGGATGCAGTGCCCAGGTAGTGGCTGGCAGGACAGCTCGTCCATTGGAACAGAAAGGAGGAAGGGGTGGGGGTGTAGATGCTAGGAAATTTGTGCATTTCATGGTAGAAACTGATGGAGTCTTCTTCTTCTTTGACTTCTGACTTCTTTGGGAGGTAGGAGTCCTGATCACCTGTCAGATTCCTTCTCCATCTCCTGCCCTTTGCTACCAGGCAGACTGGACACATAACAGGTACTCAGTAAGACCCAGTGAAGGAATTAGCAAATGAATGATACCTAGCATAGGTGTGGCTAGTTGTGTGCTTTTCCAAGGGACTGAGTTGGAGATCTCAGCATGCAGGAAGTTTATTGAGGAATGCTCTTGGAATTAACTCCTGTGGGACAGAAGGGAAGGAAGGATTGGGCAAAAAGAGAAATTGAGCTTTGAGTGCTAAAGCTGGGAAGAGTGTTTCTGAGAGTAAGCCCAGTGTTGATCTGTCATTGGAAACAGACTGCCCTGGGAAGGAGGCAGTCCACTAGGCGAGACAGCTTACATGAGAAGGGGCAATCCCCCAAGGGGGCTGGTAGCTGAGAACCATCTGCTGGCAGCCACAGGGGAAGAGATCCCTCAGTATTAAAGGTGACCCAGGCAGTGCATCACAGCATCATCAGGAGAGGCAGATGTTTAAGGGCGTGAGAGCAGTTTGTAATAGCTACTATTATGGCAGAATGGTAACTATGTGGCAGACCTGACATCAGGCAATGAATGGGCCATTGTCCTACTTGGGAGATGCTCTCAGTATAACCTTCAAGGCAGGCAAGCCAGTGCCAGGGAAGTCCAATCTGGGAAGGCTTCATGGAAGAGCAGGCAGTGAACCTGGGCTTTGACATGAGCAAGTGTTCTGCAGGTGGCTGAAGTAGCCCAAAACATAGCTGACCCACCGCTGGCTCTAGGTAGGTAGGGAGAGGCCTGTAACTCTTCTGGCCTAGGCCAGGTTGTCCTAATTTAGGCTGGGGTTCCTCACTCAGGGAGCAAAAGGGCCTGTGCCCTGGGGGCCTGAGGAGCCCTTGAGTTTGCTCTTCATGCTTGGTAACCGATTATTTTATTTACCACTCAGAGCTGGAGCTGCCCAGAGAATCAATCCTGGGCTAGCAGAAAAAGTCAGGAGCCTTGCCCCTGCATGAGCTGCCCAGGCTGTAGGCATTGTGGGAAGGGGGCGTCTGGTGACTTTGGGAAGAAGAGATTGCTCTGGCTGGAAGGGAGACTCAATTCTCCAGTCCAGGGAATGGTTAATCAAGAGGGCCCAAAGGGTAAGCAAGATAATTCACCTCTTGGTGCCTTATTTTTCTCATCCCCAAAACAAGTGTGTAATAGTAACTTCCTTGTGGGGTCATTGTGAGGTTTAAATGAAAGAATTTATACAAAAACCTAGGAACAGTGCAGGGCACACAAGCTACTATTATAACTTAACAGAGCTGAGAGGCCAGAGGTGTGTGTGCGTGTGTGAGAGGATTCACCAGAGACAGAGTGGGGAGCCGAACAGGCAGACTGACTGAAATACACTGCTGAGGGGAGCAGCGGGCGCAACAGGAGAGGTCTGCTGCGCCATGTGGGTCACTTCCCTGGCAGGGCATTGAACTCATGTTGTAGTGGCTGGCGATAGCTTGATAGCACTGTGTCTTTAACCCCTGCACTACCAGGGAGGCCCTATCCAGATCATTTTATAGATGGAAAGACTGAGGCTCAGAGAGGTAAAGTGTTTTCTGAAATACTGATCATGGCCAGGAAGTGAGCCCCGTTCTTCTGTTTTCACTTGCTCTGCGTCTACGGGGTCCTGTTGTCTGTGCTCCCAGCTGTACCCTCAGCCAACCCTAGCCACCTTGGCTTCCACTCTGGGTCTGTTTTTCCATCTGTGTCACGGGAGTTGCCCATTCTGTGCCTTTGATTCTTAATTTTGGTGGATGGGGCAAATGGGGAGCATGTGGCCAGCATGGGGCGGGGGGTGGTAGATAGCTCCCCGGTTTCCTTTCCCTCCAGCTCCCAGTTGCCACCTCATGGTAACCCTTCCACCCCCTCCCATTTCCAACATGTGTAGACTTTTCACTTCCACTTTATTATCACTTCATTTGTAGCATTTTAAGGTTTGTTACCTGGAAGGGAACGAAGAGCTCACACCTCCAGTTCCGCTTTTCAGATTTACCTTTATCACGTGTGAAAATAACCTTATTAACAGCATCTAACCTGCTACAGCATATGGAGGCACCCAGAAAAATAAATGCAGAAGGAACCAGGGCAGGGAAAACAGCGCAGCCAGCTGGAGTAGTGTAGCCTCTGGACCCTGGGATTTTCTCCCAGCCCTTGGGGGTTCTGGAGCTCTTGTCAAGATCAGCAGAGCTAGGCCCACAATAGCCTTAAGCAACTGGCCATCTTCCATGGTTCCTGGCCTCCTCCCTCCTCCTCTGAAGCACAGAGATGCCCCAGGAAACAGGTCCTGTGCCTCCCCAGCAGCCTTGTCTTCTGGATGCTTGTCCAGGATTGATTCTCTGGGCAGCTCCTGCGCCAAGCAGTAAATGAAATATTGGTTACCAGGAGTGTGGCAGGAGGCAATTAACCCCTGGACCTCACTGTGGCAGATGTGTTTGTAGCACATGAAGCTGAGAGCCGAGCACACCTGCCTGGCCTTCCTGCAAAGTCATCCAATTAGGACAACCCCCAATGGTGGGCTTCCACTGTCCCCTCTGGTACCCATGACCCTAGAAACCAGGGCAGCACCAGCCCCTAGGGCTGGCATTTGCCTGGGCACAGGCTGGCCTGTCACTCCTTGTGTGGGTGAGCTCCAGGGGCACCTCCATCCTCACACACCCTCTCTCCCCCCCCACCAGCAGGGACATTATTTGTTAATTAATCACACATCTTCCTAAAGGAGAGACAGCCTGCGGAGGATTCTTCCTTCCTTCCTCCAGAATGGAACCATCACCAGGCCCTGCCCCATAGAATATTCCTGTGCCGAAAAACCCCTGACTGGGGAATAGGGGAAACATGCTCTGCTTTTGGGGACCCCCCAGTGGATGAGGAGACAGGGATGGTTGCCCTCCACTCACTCAAAACCCTGTCTTTGAGGATCCCCAGTCTGATGGAGCAGACACAGGTCTTGCCTTCGGGAAACTTCCTGTGCTGATAGTGGAGACACAGTCCTCACCCTGGGGTGTCCCGCTCTGAGGGGGGAAAAGAGACTTTGCCATGGGTGCCCCTGTCTGATGGGGGAGACCTTTCCCCCAACAGGTTCCCTGCAGTTGGGATGCTGCCTGAGTGACAAGCAGCTGGCCCTGCAGGACAGCCCCATGCAACAGAAGAAAAAGTCCTGGGCTTCAGTCCAGGCCCAGTTGTGCCACAAACTTGCTGCAGGACCATGGGTGAGTCACAAATTCTCTTCAGACTATGATTTCCTGAACTGCAAAAATGGGGATTTCAGGCCCATCTCTCAAAATGACAGGAGGATCTTCCGGTCACCAGATAGAAAAGAATGCAAACCAGCCAGGCAGGCACTTCTTACAGGAATGATTAACATGCCTTTTGTCATAGCAGAGGCCCCAGACCAGTCCCTGTGATTGCTGAGGAGGGGTAGAGAGTCCCCTCAGGAATGGTGCCCATTAAAAATGTTACAGGGGGGCTGTGGGTGGTACTGAGGGTAGGGAGGGGAGAGGGAGTATCAGCTAATCTAATCACTCTTCCCAAGGAGCTCTCATTCCAGCCAGACCTGCCAGGGGTTTTATTGGGTTTGTGGGGACCCGCAGATTTCAATCTTCAGACCCCACAGGGAAGGAACAAGCATTAAGCTAATTTTATTAAATGGCCACAGCTGGCAGTAGGGGGAAGTCGGGGAGAGAAGGGAGGACAAAGAAAGTCATTCAGGTTTGCCAACCATGACAAGGGTCCATACATGGGGCCTGCCTTGGAGGGAGGCCACCCTCCTTCCTGTCTCTCCAGCTGAGCCAGCCTGGGGAGGGGAGGCCAGATGGGACCTTTCCTCAGTGTAGAGCCTTGGGATTCTCCAAGAGCTACCCCAAGGCTGCTGCCCAGGGCAGATGCTTGTAAATCCGTGAAGCCTTTGCAGGGTGGGGGTGGGAGAGCAGGAGTGGAAGGGCTGGTCTCAGATGGGAAGGAGGCTTAGCTCCCTAATGCCATCAATCCTCATTTCTGCTTTGGTGATCCCAAATCTTTATGAAATATGGTATGCTGGCTAAGAGCACGGTCTTTGCTTCAAATAATGGCATTTGCCTCTCATAGCTCTGTGGCCTTAGCAAATTTATTTTAACCTCTCTGAGCCTCAGTTTCCTCATCTACAATGGATAAAGTAATAGCAGCCAAGTTGAAGGGCATGTGAGCATCTCCTGCCAACCCAACCCCGTCCCACTCGTAGATCCATGAGCTAATATTTGTAAAGTTCTTACATGGCATCTCACCCAGAGTGGATGCCCTCTAAATATTAGCCATTATGATTTAGGAGTGCCCTAACCATGTGATAGTCAGGGGAGAGATCAGTGGCAGGATAGGAAGACGGTGTGCCGTCTCCAAGGACCCAGAGCTTCTGGGATGCAAGTGTAATCGCAGAACTTAGGGACTATGTCATTTTTAAAAAGTGGTTTAAGCTCCCAGGAAGAAGAATAAAATCAACTCATCCAATCTCCCAGGGCTCTTGGGAGACTTGAGTGAGATGAAATATCTGAAAGCATTTTATGAACTTTAAAGTGATATATAAATAATAAAAGCTGTGTTTATTGAGCATATACATTATACATCTTTAATCCTCAGTTGGATGAGGTAGTCTCATCACCTGCATCTTATAGATGAGAAAAGTGAGGCCCAGAAGTGAAGTGGTTGGCTCAAGGTCAACCAGCTTTTAGCTAGAAGTTTATTCCTCTCACTGCTGTCAATAAGTAAAAATTGAGTCAGAAAGGAGTGACTTGCCCAAGGGACACCAGATCAGGACCCAGGGTCTCCCAGTTTAAACCTTGTTATGCTTTTGAGATACTGATGTCACTTTCAAGAACCAAAAAAAAAAAAAAAAAGTTTCCACCAAGGAAGATGAAGATGTAACTGAGTTGCTTCCCACTGCAGATGCCCAGGCCCACTTGGGTGATGGTGGGCACCTCCACCTGGAATAGCTCTGACTCTGGCTTTCCCCCATATCTAGGGGTGGCTTCCTGCAAATCCTTCTGCAGCTTGGAGGAAGCAGGGTTCATGGTGCCCCTCCTGCAACTCCTCTCCAGGGCATAGACTGAAAGCCGGCAGGGTGAACTGTTTTTATTGTAGCTTTGGTCAGACTGGGGCAGGAGCTTTAGGGGGTGCTGGGAAGCTATCCCAGCCCACCCCCCACCCTCCCCCCAGGCGGTGCCACCCGGGAGCAGGAGGACAGCGCTTCCGAGCTCGGGACTGGGACCGTCCCGGCTGAGATCTGTCCCAAGGCTAGGGCTGGCGAGCGGAGGAGGGCAGTCAACAGTCCTATTGTACAAACATACAGCGCGGGCCGGGGCAGGGGCGGTCAGCATTGCCTCCCCGGGTCTGCACGCAGCGCGCTGGGCCCAGCTCTGCGGCGAGTCAGCGCGAGGACCTAACTGCAGCCGGGCGCGTGGAGAGGGGGGCCTGGGGCGTCATAGCCGGGAGGACTGGCAGCTGGGGATGGGCGGGAGACGGATCCTCCTCTGCTCCCCCTTCCCCCCCTCAAGGGGGATCCTGGGGATGGGGTGGAGGCGTGGAGGGGGACGCGGGATGCTCAGTCCGAGTAGATGATGAAGCCGGAGAACGTGCTGTATTTGTTGCTGTTGCCGCCGTGCGCTTTGCCTCCGTCGAGCTTGATGAAGACCTCGTCGCCCGCGTCCAGGTGCAGGATCACGCTGTTGCTGGCGTAATCGTAGTTTTGATCTGCGTCCTGGGCGATGGCGCTGGCCCGAACCTGCGGGGGAGGCATAGGGGAGAGCAGGTGTGCGTGAGAGGGCAGGGAGGCGGTGGGGAGAGGCGGGGTGGGGAGAGAGGGGTGTCAGAGGTAAGGCAGCCACTCCCGCAGAATCTGGAGGCCCTAAAAGCCCAGCCTGCAGCCCCCCCCCCAGACTCAGCCCTCCTTCTCTCTGCATCCTCCCCCTCCCTTGCCAACTGCAACCTGTGTGTTTGGGAGGCGGTTGTGGAGGAGACTGGGTGATCTCGGTGTGAACTCGGAGTCAGGGTGAACTCTGCCTCTATAACCGCCGGAGGTCTTACTGTCTGCTCTTCTGAGGCCTCAACAATGCCTCCAGGAAGTCCTGGACTGGAACTCTGTCTTTGCAGAGAGGAGTTTTCTGGACATTTCTTCCTCTCTGCTTTAATTGTAATAATGATGCCTTACCTTTCAGCCACCTCCACCAGTTCTTATGTCTGTGGATGGACATGAGGGTACACCTTGGTCAGGGGGTTGGACCAATGTCAGCCTGCTACAAAGCAGGCACCCTAGTACCAGGACCCCATTTTTGACTCCATCCATGCTGCAGTATTTCACATGAAAGTAGTGAGCTGGAAGGCCTAGTAGTTAATTCCACTCCCAAGCTCAGACTGGGTCTGCAGGCTGGCCCCCAAAGATCTATAGCTATACCTGTGTTAATTATCCCACTCCAAGGGGGTAGGTGAAAGGAAGTGGGTGAAAGGAAGGGAATCCAGGCCCTCCATCCCTCTGTGACCTTGTCTCATATCCTTGCTGGTCCTTGTTTTGATGGGGGAGGGAAGAATCAGGCAGGAGAGTGGGACAAGGGAGGCTACTAGAGTGACTCTTGTGGGTTCTCACTAATAGTAAAATATCAAGGATATTTGGTAGTGGACAAATTCATTCCTGGCTTTTCTGTTTCAACAGATGAGGCAATGCAAGGTCTGAGCCTTAGGATCTGGGGCCTCTCCAGGACATCCTGAGTGCAGAATGGGGAGAAAGGAAACTTCTCCAAGGTTCTGGCTTGTGTTGGGGTGGTGTGGAGGGGTAAGCATTGAGTAGGGTTTCCTCAGCCAGGCTCCTCAACATCCCTATCCCTTCAGTGATGGCAGCTCCCCCAAGGGCAGCTGACTGGGGGCCAGACCAAGTCAAATGAGGGGAGGGGCCCATCCTCTCTCCTGGGTGGGAGGCTGAACTGCAGGTCAGCCAGGTCAAAGCTGCTGACTCAGCAGCAGCTCCTCCCGGGAGGACCCAACAGATTTGCATGCAGTCTTCCATCAAAAGCCCAGATCCTTCCAGCTCCTACTATCCCTTCAACCTCTTCTTCCCCAGCTTGGGAAGGAACTGTTTAATTTTTTTTTTTAATGTTTAAATTTCCCAACATTTAGCTGGGAAAATTAAAGGTGGCCCAGCTAAAGGTTGGAGGAAATGAAATGAGGGGAGACTTTGTCAAGGGGTTCAGTTCCTGTTTAGAAAATAGATGAAAAGATCCTGCTTCACCCACTGCCACTTTTGTACAAGCCTTTTGATGGTAAAGAAAAAAATTGTAATCTTGATGGGGCTGAGTTGCTAGGAAAGAGCTGAAAGCAAGCAGCCAACTTCTATATTGTTCCCTGGGCCCCAATCCCAGTAGTATTTATTATTACACATGCATTTCATTATCTTTGCTAATAAATTACTACTAATAACAATTATTTTTATTACCCAGATTAATTTAGCTTTAACTCATTAAAACAGTGTGCTGCTTAATAGCTAAATCCATTAGAATACAGTCATCTGTCATCAGGAATCTCCTGGTGATGTGACAGGCATCAGAACAGTTATGCTTATGTTTATTATTTATTCATCACCATGATTGTTGCTGTGATTATCCTAATTATCCATGGAGGTAGGGAGAACGTATGCTCTTCCATCCCGAGACAGTGGGGAATCCAGTAACAGAACCCAGGGGTCCTGAGTCTAGGCCCAGGACAGGAACTGGCTGAGGCATCCAACTCCTCCTGGGGGCCAAAAGGAAGTTTGGGGATTTAAGGTTGCCTTGGAAGCAGGAAAGCAAGCCTGGGGCTTGTCACGAGGGGGCGCTGGAGAATCACCTCTTCAGGGGTTGCCAGGAAGGGAAACCGAGGCAGCCATCTGACCAGGGGCCTGGAAAGGAGGGTGAGGGCAGAATTTGGGAAAAGTACCTCTGTCCCCAGATCTGTGCTGGGGTCTTAGATGAGCAGGTGTGATTGCAACAGTCAGCCAGCCTGGTCCACAGGGGACACTAGGGTGTTCCCACATTTATGGGGTCCCTGGACAGTGCCAGGGACTGTGCTCTGTGCTATGAAAGGTATTATAGGCCAGAGAGGCTGCTGGGGGCCCCTCTTCCACCATCAGGAGAAAGATCCATCTGCAGTTAGGTTTTTATACCCTCAGTGTATACCCCCATCACCCTTACCTCACTCAGACTCTGCTGTCCAAGCCCCTGACATCTGTAGCACCTTTCCACTGCCCTCTTCCCTGAAGGAGGGAGCTAAGGGCACCCTGGCTACAAGCCCTGGCCCATCCCCGCACAGCCTCTTCTCTCTTAGCCCAGTTTATGAATTCCATATCCTCCCAGACCCATCTGAACTATGGACCTTAGAGGCAGCTGCAGGGAACTCACCTCACCCAGGGTAGTTCCCCCAACTTAGAGTCCCTTCCTCAGCCTTCTGAGGTTCTCGTATGCTGATGACAGGGCTTAGTGCCATTAGGCTGCTTAGCATCAAAGCCACCCCCAGGGAGCAGGGCTGGTGGGCCTCACACAGGGCAGAAAGGGGACCTCATCACCAGGCAGGAAGATGTGACTCCTTCCATGCCCAGTCTTGCCCACGGAAGGCCAGGGCCGACGCTCTGCTCTGCCTTCCTGATAAAATTCTGGAAACATCTTTACAGGCAGGAAGCCAGGAAGGAAAAGCACAGAGCCCAGGGTTGCCCATGGTCTTGAAGGCAGGGGAGGAGCAAGCGCCTCTTCCATCCACTGTGCAGCCCATCGTTTTTTTCTCTGCTCACTTGAATGTCCTCTTCCACCTCTAAGCCAGTCTTTCCCTACACTTGACCTTTTTTATTTTCTCCCTAGAAGGGTGGCTCCTCACTCAGGCACCTCGGTTCAACATCCTCTCCCCCAACCAGGTTGGTCTGAGCGGGGGCAGGTCCCACTGAATCACTCTTTCCAGACAATACTTTGTGGAGCAGAAGTTGCCACTTGGGACCCCAGTCCTTCTCTAATACAGGGATTTCTGGGGGTGTATTATGGGGCAGTTACTACCACACAACAGTAGCTACCCTGCACACACCACCAGGTCCAGGAGAGCAAGATGTCTGAGCCCCTGGTACCAAGCCCCAAATCTAACTCCTAGTAGGGGCTCAAAAGTAACATGTGGATGGTGAGCGGGATTCAACGAGTCTCTTGAGCAATCTGGAAGGAGAAGTCATAAAGGATTGGGGGTAGGCACTGTTTCTCTTGTCTGTTTTAGAGGTGGGACAAGGGAATGGTGGGAACAATTGTTAAAATGGCAGGTCTTGGAAAGCCTAGTTAAAGCCACATCCTCTTTTTTCTACTAGCCAGTTCCTCTTCGAGTGAGCACCTTCTTGCCAGGCTCTGCCAATGCGCTGCCCTGATGGAGGAAGAGTCTTTTGAGGAAGTTTCACTCCCATGGACTGAAGCAAGTGCCCCTTCCTCAAGCACACACCATCTTTGGACCTCCTCTCTGAGGTGCTGAGGTGGTGAGGGTTGAGGACCCACAGGTGCCCTGGTGACTGCCTCCCTGGCCAGCCAGGTCTTCAGCCTCCTGAAACCTCAGCTTGGGGCCAGTCCAAACTTTTTTTGGGAAAGGAAGACATTCCACGGGTGAAGGTGACATTGCTGCCTCCCTTATTGGTGATTAATAAGAGGAATCGTGGGACTGTCTGCAGAGTGAGTCCTGGCTGGATAGTGGGGCCTCGCCTTAGGTCGGGAACCAAGGACAAAAGGGAGACACAAGAGAGAGACACTCCAGGGATGGAGAAGATGGTATTAAACTCAAGAGGGTTAGTGGGTGGGGTGGGGTGGGGAGATAAATAGATAGAAAGAGAGGGGGGTACAGGAAGGGGTAGAAATCAGAGAGAGAACAGAGAGAAGCAGGTAGGGGAGAGAGAACAGGGCACAGGCTTAAACCATCTGGTAGAGTTTTTGCTGGCTCCCCACGCTGGTGCTTGCTTCCACCCCAAAGCCAGGGTCTACTTTAGGGCAGTGCTGCAGTGGGAGGGGTTCCCACAGGGTCTTAGTCTCAGGGGATTCCTTCTCAACTCCCACTAATCTAGCTTTAGATCTAACTCAGGGAAGGTCCCCGTCTTCCCCAAGAATGAGGGCCCAGAGGGGAGTGGGGTGAAGGGTGCCGCTGGGCCAGTCCTCTGGAAACACTGGAAAAGGAAGCAGTAACAAAAGGCGAGGGAGCTGCGCAAAACTGGCCCTGGGGCAGGGTTAGGTCCACTTGGCCCCGGCAGCAATTTCAGGGAGAGCCGGTGCCCTGGGACGGGGTGTTAGAGACGCCCCTCTTGGCGGCCTCGGGCTCTGGTCTCTAGGATGGGGGTGAGGAGGGAAGGGAAAGGGGCCTTCCACACTCCCGGAGTCTGGAGTTGCCGCTGGGAAACACAGAGGAGGGGAGTTTCCACCTCTTTGCCCCGCCTCGGGAGGAAAAACTTTTCCCCCCAGGCCGCCTGTAGGTGCAGGCTGCTCTGACACCAAGGAAAGCGGCCGCGCGGACCCGGGTCTCTCCTAGTGTCCGAGAGGCCGAGTGGTCCCTTCCCAAGGGCGGGTGATGGATTGCAGCGATGGCTGTGCGGCTTTGCGCGCCGGGCTCCCTTTGCCTTTGTGCCCAAAACATCTCCCGCGGCTCGCTGTCTCCGATTGCGCGCAAAGCCCTGCGCCCCGGCACCCGCGGGCGCGCCGGCTGCCTTTCCGCAGAGCCCGTTCTCACCCTCCCCTTGGCACCCGCTGTTATGAACCAGAATCCCGGCTCTCACACGCCACTTCCAAAGGGCCAAGCCCCCAGAGCCAGTCCGCACGCCTGGAAGCGCTGCGCTCTGATTTGGATTTGTCTCCTGGATTTCCATGCCACGCGCCCCGGCAGCTGAGGAGCAAGGGAGGACCGCCGGCCCCGACCATCTCTGCATGCGCTGCCTAAGGGGGGCCGCGGTAGGCTCCCCACCTGCACCCGCCGACTCGCACCGATTACCCATAAGCCCCGGGCCCCCTGGGGGCCCTGCTCCCGGGACAGCCCCCCGCCCCGCCGGGCCCACCTGGCCGTTCTTGCAGAGGTCGGCCCACATGCTGGTGCCGTCGCCGCCGCGCATGAGGACGTGGTAGGTGAAAAAGTAGGTGCCGGGAATGTTGCACGTAAACTTGCCGCTGGTCGCGTCGTAGTTGTTGCCTAGGTTGGTGACCACGTCGTCGAACTTGAGCACCTCATAACCCTCGTGCGGGTTCTTGAGGCCGGCATAAAAGGCCACGCGTGGCACCGTGGTGTAGGTGGCCGTGCTGATGGCGCCGCTGCCCCCCGCGCCAGGCAGCCCGGGAGGGCCGGTCTTGCCCGGCTCCCCCTTCTCCCCGGGTGGCCCCACAGGGCCGGGAGGGCCCGGGTCCCCGGGGGGCCCCGGGGGTCCGGGTTTGCCGGTACGGCCCGGCTTCCCCTGGGGGCCCTGCACCAGCGTGGAGGGCGGGGGCGCGCCACTCTGCTCGCTCAGGGCGTCGCCGCCGTCGGGCCGCGCGCCGGCGCCGGGGCCCCGCGCGGGGTAAGGGTCGCACACCATGCGGCAGGTGCCCAGCATCTCGTAGTGGCCGTCCGGGCCGCCCGAGCTCACCAGCACGGGGATCAGCACCACCAGCACCAGCAGCATCACCACGCCCGCGGCGGCCGCCAGCAGTGTTTTCCGGCCGGCGCGGAACCTCGGGAGCGCCGGGCCGCCCGGCCGCGCCGTCGGGGCAATGGTGCCGGAGGGCCGGGGCGCGGGCGAGGCGCCCGCGCTCAGGAGCGGTCCGGCGGGGCTGCGGGCATGGGGCCGGGCACGGGGCGCCGCGCTGCGCAGGATGCGCTGCCGAGCCCAGTCGCCCGCTCCTGCCTCGCGCCTCCCTCCCGCGGCGCTGCCGGACTGAGCGCTGCGGCCGCGCCTCCCGCCTCGCTCCTCCCGCTCCCCGCGCTGGGGCCGCCGCCCCCTTCGCCCCGCCCCGCCCCCCCGCGCCGCGCGCCCCGGCGCCCTGAGGGGGTGGGGTTGTGGGCGGGGCCTGCTCCTCATTGGGCCACAGGCGGCGGGGCTCCGCCCACACCGCGAGGGGCGGGGTCGCGGGGTGGGGCCTCGGAGACCCCGGCCAGAGCCGGGGGACCGAGGAAACTAAGGGAGCCAGACGCAGACACAGACTCGGGAATGGGGCGGGGGCTGGAGTCTGAGAAAAGGGAGAGGTTCCCACAAGAGTAGGGACCAAAGAGCGAACGGAAGAGGGTCACAGGGGAGCAAGAGAATGCCGAGGGGCATTGGGAGGGGAGCAATCCCTCCCCATGGGAGGAGGGTCCCTTTGGAGAAAAGCGGAGAGGGATAGTGAGGTGCCAGGGGCCAGGAGTGGGGCGTGATCAGGGCGACAGGAGACAGTGTTTGAGGGCAGGATGCAGCAGGGAACACGGAGGGCTTGGAAGAGGGTTATGACGGGGAAGGCAGAAGGAGGCCGAGAAGGCCATCAAGTACTTAGACCTTGCAGGCCACTGTCCTGGGTCATTAGACTGTCAGGGTTCCCAACCAGATCCCCAGTACTGGGAGCAGCCGCCCACTTCTCTTCTGGCTCCTGGGTGTTCGGGGGACCTGGCTTCCCCTGGAGCAGCAGGGTCTCCTAACCACACCTGTTCCTTCAAGAGCTCCAGACCAAACCAGGCTGCTTTTTCCTGGGAAGGAGGACCTTCCTCCATCTTCCTCTGATCACGCCCCTATCTCTGCTTCTAGACAAGGGAGAAATGAGGATTCCCCCCACACACACACCTATAATATGTCTCCATTTTTACGTGTGCAAATATGTCCATCGGTGGTGCTGTGCCCCCCCCCCCCCCCCCCCCCCCCGCCTTTGGTCTCCAAGAGGCTTTGATCTTGCCCAACTCCTTTGCTTCTCCTCCCTGGTCTCCTCAGCAGCCCCCTTTATTCTTTTCTCTATCAGGTCCTATGAGGCAACCCTCTTCTTCAAGTGCAGGAAAATGTTTAGGTAGCATAAACTGAAATGTGTCTGCTTCCATCAAAATAGTTGTCACATTGAGGCCCAGCTCGTGCTGCTCCATTGCTCTTCTTCACCCTGCTTTGTCCAGCGCACCAGGGAGGGTCTGTCATGGGGCGGATGACCCTCTAGCCTCTTTTCTCCATAGAGTCCCCTCCCAACTCACACAAACCCCCTGGTCCTTACGATTCTCTGGCTTTCCCTGCCCAAGGTTGAGATTGAGGCTCCTCCCAGGATTGGGAGGAGAGAAGCTATCAAGTGGGAGACTGTGCGAGAGCACCTGCCTGGCACTGACTGCTGTGGCCTGGTGAGAGTGACCACCCCCCCCCACGACCCCCCCACCCCGGCCAAGAGGGAGCTGAAAAAATTCCCTAAATAGCATTTATCCAGGGTTTTCCATGTGCCAGGCTCTGTGTTGAATGCTTTACAGACCCGATCACACTTGATCTTCTCACTCATCCATGGCGCTTTAAAGTGCATCATTATTCTCATTTTACACATAGAGAACTGAGAGACGCTGCAACTTAGGAGATTTGCCCAAAGTCATACAACCACAACTAACAAATGGTAGCGCCAGGATTCAAACGGATAGCCTGACTCCCGGCCCTTTCAACCTAGACGTAATGGGGTCTCTCAGTGCTATTAGCTGCGCAGAGGGTGTTAAACGCAGGCATCTGGGGGTTGCAGGTTGCAAAGACCTCCCCAGACTCAGGAAGAGCGGTTCCTGCGGCTGTCAGTCCAGCCTCCTGTCCCCACGCAATCTCTCCCAGGAGGACTCCCCCCAAGAGCGACTGTGCATGACCCGAGGGACGAACTCGCGGTCACTCGTGCAGGGGAGGCTCCCCGCCCCGCCCCGCCTCGCCCCCCGTCCTCGCGCGCGGGGCTCTCCGCTGGCTGCTGGGGCTTGTCCGCCGCTCGCATCCCTGCCAGAGCCGCGGAGGATGGCGCGCCGGCCGCGGAGGCCGAGAAGGGGGCGGGAGCACCCCCGCACCCCCACCCCGGTGCTCGCCCGGCAGCCGAAAGGCGCGCTCAGCGGGCAAGGCGCCCCGCCCCCCGCCCCCAAAGAGCGCCCGCTCCCCCGGCGCGGCGTGGCGTCTCTGTCAGCCCAGCCGGATTCTCCCCGCTTCGCTGGAGTGGAAAATAACGGCTTCAAACTTTGCGGAGAGGAGCTGGTGCCAGCACTTTAATTAACAGCCATCTTGGCCTGTGAGCCGGGGCCACCCGCTCAGCGTCTCCCCCAGGCTCGCCAGGCCCCGCCCTGGCCCCCAAGGAAGAGGCCCCCCTCCTCCCTTCCCCGCCGCTGCGCTCCCGGCCCCTTCACCCCTTCACCACTTCCACGCACCTGAAAGCCTGCCTGACGTGGGGGGCTGGTGCTGCCCCAGGAGGAGGCTTCCCAGCTTAATACCGGAAGACCCCCAGCCCTCCCGGACACCCCAAATTCTTTAAGGCCTGGCGCCGGAAGATTCTGGAATGAGGGATTTGCCTGCCAATCTCTGCTAGTGCTTTGGGGCTAGTCGCCTGATCTGCAAGGCCTCAGTATCCTCTTCTGTAAAGCGGGTTGTTGTGAGGATTGGATGACATGGACTGCATGTAGAGCCCTGGGCTTGGTGTCTGGCCCTTATTATGCACCCTGTAAACAGTGGCTAATCTAGTGAAGCCCCTTCCAATACCCCAGGCCTTGGGTCTCCTCCTCCTTCCTCCTATGGAGTGCAGTGCTTGCCACTAGCAGACAGTGGGCCTCGGCTTCCAGGGTTTTCGGAGCCTGAAGTAGGTAAATGAAGACGGAACCTTGGAGTCCCAGCCCCCAGGCCTCTTCTTCAACCACCTGCCAAGACCAGGAACCCAGGTTTTCAGAAGGGGAAAAGGGGACCCCCTGGGAGTGAGAGGGAGGGCAGCACCACCTAGCTGAGCTGCCTCAGGTGCTGGGGGCTGAAGGTCTGGCTTAGCTTTCCCTCCTAAGTGGGAGCGCTTTATTCCAGGGGTGGGGAGCGGGTGTGGGGCCCTGGGGGCATGTGAGGAGGGTGCAAGAAGGTAGGTACAGAAATTTATTTATGTATGACTAACTTGAGGAAACTGCATGGCTGGTTGGTGGTATTTTGGGGTTCTTTGAATGAAAGTGAGTGGGAGTGAATATATACGAGACTGTGTGTCAGTGTGTGTCTAGGTTTGTGAGTGATGAAAGCAGGTGCCTTGCCCTGACTCACCAGCTGGCAAATCTGCCATTATTTGTTCATTTATTCATTCCATAAACATTTACTGAAAACATCTAGCTTGGCATTGCCAGGTGGCAGCACTCGTGTGTCCAAAACCAAGTGGGACTTAAGCAATACCCCTGAAAAGCTCACTGTGTAGCTGGACACCACCATAGGAAGAAATGATAAATGCTATGATAATTATTTAGTTAACATGTTTTAAGCACTAAGTGTAGACATGTAGATTAGCTCACTTAAATTTAACAACCTATCATCATGGATTTAACACTATATCATGGGTTATATCATTCAATAACAATAGCTCCATGAGGTAGATACTATTTTTTTTTCAAGATTTATCTATTTATGCATACAAGAGCTGGGGTACAGGCCAGAGGTGCAGGGGTGGGGTGGGGTGAGAGGATTCACCAGAGACAGAGTGGGGAACAGAACAGGCAGATTGGCCAAAGTACACTGCTGAGGGGAGCAGCGGGCAAGACAGGAGAGGTCTGCTGTACTGTGTGGGTTGCTCCCTGGCCGGCCCAGGGATAGAACTCATGCTACAGAGACTGTGGACAGCTTCATAGGTTGCGTCCTAACCCCTTGTGCCACCAGAGAGGCCCAGATACTATTATTTTCCATATTTTGTAGCTGAGAAAATGACAACTTGGGTAGAGGTTAGTACGAGGTGTTATGAAGTTCAGATGAAGAGGACTCCAGGAAGGCTTCACAGAGGGGGTGTCACTTTTCATTCCATCTATCCAGTCACTCATCCATTCTCCATCCTCTGTCCATTCTATATACCTGTATCAACTGACACGCCACCACATCTATTAATATTACAGATCACAGTGCTGAGCATGAAAAGGCTCTGATTTCATATAGTTCACAGTAACCTGGATATATCAGGAACCTGGACAATTAAACAAGCAACTGCTATCTACGATAGTTTGACATGTAAGCTGCCTGGGACTGGTGTGGGAGGTGCTATAGGAACACATGGTAGTGGCACCTAATTGTATCTGGTGGCAGGGAATCATGGGAAGCTTCCTGGAAGAAGTGAAGTTGGTAAGGTGAAGAGGCTGACCCTAGAGATGGAGGACAAAGAGAAGGGGGAGGGAAGGAAGGGTATTTCAGGTAGTGGGAACAGCATGTGCTAAGACCCATTTGCAGGGCCTTGTGGGCTGTGATTAAGAGTATATCATTTATGGGCCTCCCCGGTGGCGCAGCGGTTGAGCGCTGGGTTGTGAAGCTGCCCGCGGCCTCTGCGGCGCCGGTTCGATCCCCAGCTGCTCCCCGGCCACCGGAGGAGGATCCCACATGGCGCGCAGACCTCTCCTGCCGCCCGCTGCTCCCCTCAGCAGTGTACTTCAGCCCTTCTGCCTGCTCTGCTCCCCGCTCTGGCTCTGGTGAATTCTCTCACCCTCCCGCGCTTCTGACTGTACCCAGTGCATGTATAAACAAAACAAACAAATATAATAAATAAATAAATAAAAACATGCCTCTATTTAAAAAAAAAAAAAAAAAACTCTTTAAAAAAAAAAAAAAAGAGTATATCATTTATTCTAAGAGCAATTAGAAACTACTAATGGGAGTTAAGTGAGTGATATAGATTGTCCAGATTAGAATGACTCTTGGGCTACGGTCACGGGGGCTGAAAATTGAATAAGAGTGTCATCGGGAGATTGGGCAGGAGGCAGTTGCCTGG